CAAAGTCATGAAAAACAAGAATCTGAATCCAAGACTACTCTACCCAGCAAGGCTATCATTCAAAATAGAAGGTCAAATAAAGAGCTTCCCAGACAAAAAAAAGGCTAAGGGAATACATTAGCACCAAACCAGCACTGCAAGAAATGTTAAAAGGACTGCTGTAATTAGCAGTAGAAATGGGAAGAAAAATAGAACCACACTAAACAAAAATGGCAATAAATAAGTACATATCAATAATCACCTTAAATAATTGGATTGAATGCTCCCATAAAAAGACACAGAGTAGCTGATTGGATAAGAAAGCATGACTCATCTATATGTTGTTTACAAGAGACCCACCTCACAACAAAAGACTCACATAGGTTGAAAGTGAAGGGATGGAAAAAATTTTCCAAGCAAATGGAAAGCAAAAAAAAGCTGGGGTAGCAATTCTCATATCTGATAAAATAGATTTCAAAATGAAGACCATAACTAGAGACAAAGACGGCCACTACATAATATTGAAAGGATCTATCCAACAGGAAGATATAACCTTGATAAACATATATGCACCCAATACAGGAGCACCAAAATATATTAAAAATCTTCTGGAGGACTTCCAAGGAGAAATCAACAACAATACAATCATAGCAGGGGACTTCAACACCCCATTGACAGCACTGGATAGATCCTCTAGGCAAAAATTTAGCAAGGAAACAGAGACTCTCAATGAAGCACTAGACTAAATGGATTTAATAGATATCTACAGAGATTTACACCCCAAAACTGCAGAATACACATTCTTCTGAAGTACACATGGGACATTCTCAAAGATAGACCACATGCTAGGACACATACTAAATCTCTACAAGTTCAAGAAGACTGAAATCATATCAAGCATCTTCTCAGATCACAATGGCATGAAACTAGAAATCAATTGCAACAAGAACATGCAAAGACATTTCAACACATGGAGGCTAAATACCATGTTATTAAACAATGAATGGGCCACCGAGGAGATCAAGGAAGAAATTAGAAACTTCCTGGAAACCAATGAAAATGAACACACAACAACACAAAATCTATGGGATGTAGCAAAAGCAGTTCTGAGAGGGAAGTTCATAGCACTACAGGCCTACCTCAAAAAAACAAGAAAAATTTCTAATTGACTGTCTAACCTCACAACTTAAAGAATTAGAAAGCAAACAAAAAGAAAGCCCCAGAGCAAGTAGAAGGAAGGAAATAGTAAAGATCAGAGCAGAAATAAATGACATAGAGACCAAAAAAACAATTCAAAGGATCAATGAAACAAAGAGCTGGTTTTTCGAAAAGATAAACAAGATTGATGGACCCTTAGCTAGACTCACCAAGAAACAAAGAGAGAGAACCCAAATACACAAAATCAGAAATGAAAGAGGAGAAGTAACAACCAACACCACGGAAATACAAAAGATCGTTAACAACTACTATGAACAACTATATGCCAACAAATTCGACAATCTAAGCGAAGTGGACACATTTCTAGAAACACACAGTCTCCCAAAACTCTTCCCGGAAGAGATAGAAAACTTGAACAGACCAATAACAACTAAGGAAATTGAAGAGGTAATCAAGACTCTCCCAGCAAACAAAAGCCCAGGCCCAGATGGCTTCACGGGGGAGTTTTACCGAACATTCAAAAAAGAACTAACACCCATTCTCCTCAAACTATTTCAAAAAAATTCAAGAAGAAGGAAGACTTCCAAACACGTTCTATGAGGCCAGCATAATTCTAATTCCAAAACCAGAAAAAGACACTACGAAGAAAGAAAACTACAGGCCAATATCCCTGATGAACATAGACGCCAAAATCCTGAACAAAATATTAGCAAATCGGATCCAGAAATACATCAAAAAAATTATTCACCATGACCAAGTGGGATTCATTCTAGGAATGCAAGGCTGGTACAATATTCGCAAATCAATAAATGTGATACACCACATAAATAAGATGAAGAATAAAAACCACATGATCATATCAATAGATGCTGAAAAAGCATTTGACAAAATCCAGCATCCATTTCTGATAAAAACGCTCAGCAGTGTGGGAATAGAGGGATCATATCTCGACATAATAAGGGCCATATATGAAAGACCTACAGCCAACATCATACTCAATGGACAGAAACTAAAAACATTTCCATTAAGAACAGGAACAAGACAGGGATGTCCACTTTCACCACTCTTATTTAACATTGTACTGGAAGTCTTAGCCACAGCAATCAGACTTGATGAAGAAAAAATAAAAGGGATCCAAATTGGAAAGGAGGAAGTGAAACTGTCATTATTTGCAGATGACATGATATTATACATAGAAAACCCTAAAGACTCCATCAAAAATCTACTAGACTTAATAAATGAATTTGGCAAAGTAGCAGGATATAAAATTAACGTCAAGAAATCGACGGCATTCTTGTACACCAATGATGAACTCACAGAGAAACTGAAAAAACAATCCCATTTACCATCGCGCCAAAAAAATTAAGATACCTAGGAATAAACTTCACCAAAGAAGGACCTATTTGCAGAAAACTACAGGTCATTGAAAAAAGAAATAGAGGAAGATATAAAAAAGTGGAAGCACATACCCTGTTCATGGATTGGAAGAATTAACATCATTAAAATGTCCATACTACCCAAAGCAATCTATAGATTCAATGCAATCCCCATCAAAATACCTACAACATATTTCATAGAACTAGAACAAATACTTCAAAAGTTCATATGGAACCACAAAAGACCCCGAATAGCCACAGCAATCTTGAAAAAGAAGGACAAAGTAGGTGGGATCACAATACCAGATATCAGGTTATACTACAAAGTGACTGTAATCAAAACAGCCTGGTACTGGCACAAGAACAAGCAGATAGACCAGTGGAACAGAACTGAAAACCCAGAAATGGACCCAAGGCAATATGCTCAATTAATATTCTACAAAGGTGGCAAGAGCATACAGTGGAGTAAAGACAGCCTCTTTAATAAATGGTGTTGGGAAAATTGGACAGCTACATGCAAAAAAATGAAACTAGGCCATCAACTTACACCATACACAAAAATAAACTCAAAATGGATAAAAGACTTAAATGTGACCCGTGAATCCATAAAAATTCTAGAAGAAAATGTAGGCAACAAAATTTCGGACATCATACGGAGCAGAATTTTCACTGATACATCACCTAAGGCAACAGAAACAAAGGAAAAAATGAACACTTGGGACTACATCAAACTAAAAAGCTTCTGCACAGCAAAAGAAACAATCATCAAAATGGAAAGGCAACCCACTGTATGGGAGAACATCATTGCCAATGATGTATCAGATAAGGGGTTAATTTCCAAAATATATAGAGTGCTCATACAACTCAACAAAAGGAAGACAAAGAACCCAATTAAAAAATGGGCAGAGGAGCTGAATAGACACCTCTCCAAACAGGACATACAAATGGCCAAGAGACATATGAAGAAATGCTCAACATCACTAATCATCAGAGAGATGCAAATTAAAACAACAATGAGGTATCACCTCACACCTGTCAGAATGGCCACCATCAACAAATCATCAAACAACAAGTGTTGGCAAGGGTGTGGAGAAAAGGGGACTCTAGTACACTGCTGGTGGGAATGCAGACTGGTGCAGCCACTATGGAAAACAATATGATGTTACCTCAAAAAATTAAAAATTGAACTTCCATTTGACCCAGTGATCCCACTTCTAGGAATATACCCTAAGAAGCCTGAAACACCAATCAAGAAGAATATATGTACCCCCATGTTTATAGCAGCACTATTTACAATAGCTAAGATCTGGAAACAGCCCAAGTGTCCATCAGTAGACAAATGGATAAAAAAGCAGTGGTACATATACACAATGGAGTACTATGCAGCGGTAAGAAAGAAAGAGCTCTTATCCTTTGAGACGACATGGAGGGACCTGGAAAGTATTATCCTAAGTGAAATAAGCCAAGCAGAAAAAGACAAATACCACATGATCTCACTTATATACGGAATATAATGAACATAACAGTCTGAGGATTACGGTAGACCCAGAAACATGGAAGTAGGTCACAGACTGACATCCCTCAGAAGAGGGGGTGGGGGGTGGGTGGGAAGAGATAAACCACAGAACTTATATGCATGTATGCATGGCCAACGGACATGGACAACTAAGCCAGGGACGGGGCGGGGGTGGGGTGGGGAGGGGGATGCCAATGGGGTAAAAAGTGAAATATCTGTAACAAAAAAATAAATTAAAAATTAAAAAATAAAATAAAATCAATAAAGAGGAAAAAATACATACTTTAAAAAAATATTTAATTTATTAGGGTAACATTGGTTAATAAAAGTTTATAGGATAAAAAAAAAGGATCAGTTTTACACAATTTGGCAGCTTTATGAGTTGACGCAGTGCTGAAATGATAAAGTCCACTGTGCCGAGTGTTTGAAAATATTGTCCATTAACTGTGTAAAAAGAAAGGCTAAATTTAAATACACATAAGGTTTGCTAGCATCTGTTCCTTATCTCCCCATACTTAACCCCTCACTCTTTTCTTTGTGTACCCTGACCTCCAGTCATATTCAACTCCTTAGAAGCTGATGCCTCTCTAAACACCCAGAAGGGGAGAAAGAGGAGGAATAGAGGGAAAGGGCAGAAGGCACGCAATCCTCACAAAGTCACTTTGTAGGTCTCCTTCAGGGGTCACTGCCTCTGGGAAGGACCTGAGTTACCTCCGCTGCTCTCACCACCACCACATCTGGACGGGCTTTGCCAGGTGTGCTGTATCTCTCTCTCTGTGGTATTTACTATGTAGCTCTGGGAAGGTTGTGCTGACTGCCCTTCAGTGGATTGATGGCTTCTGTTCCCTTGGGACATTTACAGTCATTCATCAACGCGTCCCTGGGTCTCGTGCAGTGTGTGCCAGGTAACAGGTTATCAGTCTGTTATTTTTTAGTGATGACACTTGTTCTTCTCTATTTTGTTTTCAAAGATTCCCCAAGGTGAACACAATAGAAGCCATGCTGAGAAGTTGATCGCCCTTCCAGTGCCAGAAGATCCCAAAAAGCCAAATGATCTTTCCAGTTCCACTTCAGATGGCCGGACAGGAGAAAGCGATCGGCAGCCAAAAGAAAGCTTTTTTCAGTTTCTCGGTAACTTATTCAGTATCTCTGGAAAGTCATCTCTTGCTGAAGCCAAGCAGTCTTCCCTAAAAGATGACCTTGACAGAACAGAGAAAGACCTACGAAGTCGCAGGGACCATCACGACGAAGGGGCCAAGGGGGAGAGGGAGATTCCCACCAGCTCCCTGGGAGCCCAGGCACTTCCAAAGGAAGAACAGGAGTCCAGCTCAGCTGAACTCTCGGATGCCTTTCCTTTGGACACTACAACACAAGACAGTGAACAGGAAACTGGGGATTTCCTAAAGTAAGTTTAAAATTTATTTGAGCCAGAATTTGAGTTTTTGGACCTAGCTTTTGATCCTGAAATCTGTTAATTGAAGGGATTGGAAAAAGTATCCTGTAATGTTCCTGCTAGTAGTTAAAAAGTTATATGATTCTGTGTACCATACATGTAATCTGGGGCCTTCTAAGCTATTTTAGGGGGTAACACTAATAACTTTTAGGTGCTAGCTTTTTCATAGTACAAGATTTATTTCTAATTAAAGACTTCCTTGATGGGAGTTTTTTCTGTTTGAATTTTTCCTGTGTTAGGACAGGCAGTATGTTCAGGGTCTTCATTTGGGGAACAAATATGGTCCTTAGGTTTGTACTCATATTCTATCAGTATCTTTTCTTTGTGGAGTATAATTACAGAGGTTAAGAAAAGAAATTAGCCCTGGCCAGTTTGGCTTAGCCGTTAGAGCGTCAGCCTGTGGACCAAAGTGGTTCAGTTCCACTCAAGGGCACGTACCACAGTTGCGATTTGGTCCCCAGCCCTGGTCGGCGTCATGCGGGAGGCAGCCCCGTTGATGTGCCTCCCTCTTCCCCTCCCTCTCCCTCCTGCTCTATCTGAAGATAAATGGAAAAAATATCCTTGGGTGAGGATTAAAAAAAGAAAAGAAATTTAATTGACTCTCTCTATAAAACCAGCCTAATGAACCTTTTCCACAGTTCTAAGAAACTGAAATCTTGCACAGATTTAAGGAGCACTTCACCACCCCTACATTCTTTGCTTGATTAGTAAACAGTCACTGATTTTTCATTTACTCAGATGAGCTAGAAGGAATATTTTCTTTATTTTTCAATTATTATTGATATTTAATATCATATTAGTTTCAGGTGTACATCATAGTGGTTAGACATTTATATAATTTACGAAGTGATCTCCCCAATAAGTCTAGTACCCACCTGAGTTATTGCAGCATTATTGACTATATTCCTTACGTTGTACTTTACATCCCCATGACTGCCAGTTTGTACTTCTTAATTCCTTCACCTTTTTCATCCAACCCTCTAATTCCCCTCTCATCTGGCAACCATCAGTTTATTCTCTGTATCTGTGACTGTGTTTCTGTTTTGCTTGTTTTTTAGATTCCACATGTAAGTGAAATCATATGGTATTTGTCTTTCTCTGACTCATTTCACTTAGCATAATACCCTTTAGGTTCATCCATGTTGTTGCAAATGGTGAGATATCATTCACTTAGCATAATACCCTCTAGGTTCATCCATGTTGTTGCAAATGGTGAGATATCATTCATTTTTAAGGAAGAGTAATATTCCATTATGTATATCCTGGCCAGTGTGGCTCAGTTGGTTGGAGCGTCATCCCATAAACCAAAAGGTGGTAGGTTTGATTCCTTGTCAGGGCACATACCCAGGTTTTGGGTTTGATCCCTGATCTCTTTCTCCCTTTCTATCTCCCTTCTTCTCCCCCTTGCCCTCCCTCTCCCCACCTCCAGTCTCTCCCTTCTTCCTTAAAAAAAAATCCCATTGTATATATGTACTACTACTTCTTTATCCAGTCATCTATCAGTGGATACTTAGGTTGCTTTCCTATCTTGGCTATTGTAAATAATGCTGCCATGAACATAGGGATGCATATATCTTTTTGGATTAGTGCTTTGGATTTCTTTGGATAAATACCCAGATTGGGATTGCTGGGTCATGTGATAGTTTTAGTTTTAATATTTTGAGGAACCTCCATATTGCTTTCCATAGTGGCTGCATTAATTTGCAATAGAAGGAATATTTTCTACCCCCTAATAAGAATCTGTCCAGCCGGTGTGGCTCAGTGATTGTCAGCCCATGTACCAAGAGGTTGCCGGTTCAATTCCCAGTCAGGACACATGCCCAGGTTGTGGGCCCGATCCCCAGTGGGGGACATGCAGGAGACGGCCAGTTGATGTTCTCTTTCATCGGTATTTCTAGCTCTCTCTCCCTCTCTCTTCCTCTCTCTCTAAAATCAATAAAGGAAAAAGAAAACTAATAAGGATCTGTTTTATTGGTCTTACTTTAACCTCTACCTGAGAATTATTTTTATTTGAAGAGGTCATCAATAATACTATAGTCAGTTAGAGGTGATAACTTAGGACTGTGTACTTCTCTGTACTTTCCGAGTGTCTTCATGTATATGCTTTCAGTTAATTCCTCGTAGTAGGCTTATGAGGTGGGCCCCGATCCATCTTACAGTTGTGAGAACTGAGACACCCAGATAGATTTGTGTTTACCTATCAAGAGTGACGTGGGGGGGGGGGGGTGCCTTCTCAGCTGTTTAAATGTACAATAAGGCTAAATTAATTGAAGACATGTCATACTGATGTAATATTTGCTGTACATTTAAATGGAACAGAATAGCGCAGGTGGTGTCTTTCAGTGGTTGAGCATCGACCCAAGCACCAAGAGGTCACCAGTTCAATTCCTGGTCAGGGCACCAGCCCAGGTTGTGGGCCCAAACCCCAGTGGGGTCATGCGGGAGGCGGACAGTCGATGTTCTCTCTCATTGATATTTCTATCTCTCTCTCTCTCTTTAAAGTCAATAAATAAAAAAATATTTTAAATGGAACTGAATAGACAGTCTGGAAATAGACCCTTTGTATATTTATGATTTGAACCCTTGAGAATGACAGCATTACATATTCTTGGAAGACTTGGGAAAATTGGTTAACAATTTGGAGAAAAATATAAAAGCTGTATGCTTATCTCTCCGGTCTGGAGGCCGATGCTCTAACTGCTGAGCCAAACTAACCAGGGATTATCTCATTTTTATATTAAAATGGAATAAAGTGTGTTATTAGGCATTGGTAGCAAAAATAGAATACTGGTCTTAGGGCATGGAGCCTAAACCACCAGCAGCATGGCTGGGTAGGAAAGACATGTCCATTGTTTCCGAGTTTGTAAGCATTTGTATACATCAAGTACAGAGAAAGGGGGAGAAATGTGCACTATCTGAAAACATTTACATTAGCCATAGGCGTAGAGGCGGGAGGAGGTGAGGCGGGCAGCCCTGGGATAGGTGCAGAGGCTGCCCCTGTGGATTGGCGGTGGGCATCAGCCTGGAAAGCCCCCTGGAAGGCAGGAAGCGGAGGCTCCTGGAGCTAGGTGGTGCCTGACTAAAGTATCTGCAGAAACAGCCACCTGGAGTGTAACCCGAAGTTCCAATAGACATACAGAAATAGTAGTCTTAGCCCTGGCCGGTTTGGCTCAGTGGTTAGAGTGTCGGTCTGCGGTCCAGAAATAGTAGTCTTTTGTTAGAGTTGGTCCACAGCTATTAACAGGGAAACTTTTCTGTCTCTTTCTCTCACTCTCTGGACACTGTAATTTTAATTTGGAACATCTCAGAATTTTCTCCTTGACAGGTTTATTCTTTTGGTACTAGACAATAGAAAATGGGACCCGATACTGTGCCTTGTAATTAGTTAAGCTCCAGTAAAGCCCTTGTTAATAGAAAAATTGCTTAAGGCAGTTGACCAGAACCACCTCAACAAAGAAAGGTGGTTCTTTTTGTTGTTTTGTTTTCCATCTGTATTTCTTTTTTAAATAAGGAAACAAGGCTCAGAAGGCTAAGTAATATTCCAAAATCATACAGTTAATGACAATTAATAATAGGAATTAATAACAATAGGAACAGCTGGTAGAGACTATGTAAGAAGTTTCAAACTCCTCCAAGTCCAGTTTCAGGGGCAAACACTGGCTATGGGACCCAAGATCACTTGGTCATACTGGAAAATTCCACCATCCACCACAGCTGTTACAATCTTTGGATCTTTCGTTTTACAGTGCTAACAAAAGTGACTCTTACAAGGAAAGGAAAAGACCGCTGGATTCCCAGTTTGACTGAGATAACAGGCTTCTGCCAGCCCCACTTTAGAAATCCTACAGATTAACAGGTTTTGAATTACAGTTTTAGTAACTCTGGTAATTTTTAATTTGTTTAGGAATTGTATAAAGATGGAATACCATTCTTTTCTTTATTGATTTTGAGAGAGAGAGGAAGGGAGAGGGAGAGAGATAGAAACATCAGTGAGAGAGAACATTGATTGACTGCCTCATGCATGCCCCCCATTGGGGATCGGGCCCACAACCTGGGCATGTGCCCTGACCAAGAATCGACTGGTGATCTCTTGGTGCATGGGTTAATGCTTAACCACTGAGCCACACTGGCTGGGCAAGGTGGAATACCATTTTGATCAATAGTTTATTTTGCCAGTATGAATAAGGACTTCTTATAACTAATTTGAAATATTATTTAAATATATCTAGAGAAGCTATTTAATAATAATTTTGCGAATGTATGTTTTAAGTATTAAAGTTGTGTCTTTTCTGTAATGTAAATTTATTGCAAGGGAGGATATATTTAATTTTTATTGAAATGAGAATATTTCAGATATCAAATATTTAACATTAAGAGCCTATACTTTTGAAATTACTAGGAGACTTCAGTTTTACATAAAACTTTTATTTATTTTAAGAATGAATGAATTAACTGAAAGTTTGCATTGTCTTTCTCATGTAAAAATGCACCTACTTTTTTTCTTTATAGGTTTTTAAAAAATAATCAGGTATATTTAAAAGGGTTAATAGCTTAATTTAGGCAAGTTAATAAAATAACCTGTGCTGTATAATGCTGTCTATTACTATCAAATTAAACATTTTTATCACTATTAATCACAAATAATACAGGATTGAAATAAGATATTACCTATATTTTGAAGTACATTTAAAAGCAGTCTCATCAAAAGACATTGCAATGATTTTTATTTTCACTTAATTAAAAATAATAGAGCTTTGTAATTGTTTTTATGCATAATCGACTATTTAATTTCCTTTTTAATATCCTGAAAGCCTTTATATATAGGAAGCTACTTCTTTGTTGAGTTGAAATTCTTTAAAAAGTTTTTTAAATCTTATATTTTCAACAGATTTATATCCACGATGAGAATCTCTATTGTCAAAGCTTTATTGTAATTTGAAAAAAAAAAGTTGCTAGATTTGTAGCTTTTCTCTACATAGAAAAGTTAAAAGCCTTCCTATTATGAGATATACTTCACCACAGTTTCTGGGATTACTGCTGAGTGTTTCTAATTATATTTCCTCATACTCTCATGCTTTGTGTGTGTATGTGTTTGTGTGTTTTTCCCACAGACAAGCAGATGGTAAACCAGAGAGGCCTTCAGTAACATATGCAACGTATCGAGGCCCCAGACAAATCAGGAAATGTTTGAAGCAACAGACCGTGTTAGAAACTGTGAATCCCTTGGACGACGACGAAAATGAAAGTTCTGACTCTAGTACAAGTGCACATATTGGGTCTGGGAGTGCGACTGAGGCTGGGATGCTGTCATCGTCTAGCACAGACAGATCTGTGGAAGGACGTAGGCTTGGAGACCCATTAGAAGACTCTGATTATAGTGGGATAAGTCTCAACACAGAAAGCCATCTGACAAACAGCCCGGAAATGCTGAATATTGCTTCTTCTAAGAATGTTTTAAGTAAAAACGGTCCTGGGGGACCTGAGGGAAGTAGATCATGCCCTTCTTCTATGACTGGCTTCCACTTTGCTGTTGGAGAATCTGACTCACAGCACCATGTAAGTCATGTACCAGTTTCTCAGACAGACAGAAATCTGGCATGTTCAGCGTTTACAGGGAGCTGCAGCGGCACAGGTCCTGGCAGTCCAGATGTTCTGAGGATATCCTCCACAGAGACCACAACAGAAGAAAACAGCTCCGTCAGGGGTGATGGGACCCGGGTGCAAAGGGGAGAGCATGTCGAGCCAGAGAGCCCTGCTATTTCTGACTTGTCTTGTAGTAAATCTGATGGAACAGATACTACCAAGCAGAAGAGAACAGATTTGCCAAGTCCAGATACATCAATTAGGCATGAAGACGTGCAATCACCAGAGAATGAGTGTTCTGACAAGCCAACTGTAGATAATGCATCCAAGCAGGCTGCCAATCACACCATTGCTCTTCAGAGACATGCTGTGACAGACACAGAACTGGTAAGTGAAGGGAACAGGTTGTCTGCCCAAGATGCACAGAAAAATTTAGCTATTACAGAAACCAGGCAAGAAACAGAAAGTATCTCGGTTGGTGAACCCACAACTTCAAGTTGTGCAAAAGCTCCAGAAGATAGACTTGAATCATTACCCAAAAATCCTGACCAGTTGTGTGAAACAGAAACCAAAAAGCTTGATTTTGGGCCCCATGGAAAAATGCCTCATGTTCTTGGAATAAGTCAAAAGGGCCCTGCTGCTGTAAAATGTATCAGTGAATCAACAGTCGTAGCATGCCTAGAAAACAAAATAACCCCTGAACTGGCTTTAGAACTTTCTAGAAATCACATTTCAGAATCTTTTCTTGACTCTCAGAGTCCTCAACAAGCCAAAGTATCACCTGATACCAGAACCTCTCTTACCCTTGACTGTGAAAAATCAAATTCCAATGCTTCATTTCCTGCCTTTGTTTCTGGAATTGGCATGCTGAACAGGTTGGATATGCCTGTTTTAAAGGATGAGGGGTCTTCTATGCTTGTTGAAACTGGGAATGTCGACATCGTTGGTGATCCCAGAGAGCCTAATGAGTGTCAAGAAGAAAATGTGGTGAGTCAAGTCGAGGCTGCAGACAGAAAGAGTCGTACAGCTTGCCTTTCCCTTGAGCATGCATCTGTGATCATTGAATCCAAGGACATTGTTCCTGACAGTGAAAACTGCCAGGTTCCACTAGACCCTGAAGCCAGTGACACCCACGTGTGTGGAGTGGACTCGAGATTTGAGTACGAAAGCCTCTCTGAGGACCACAGTTCCATTTCATCTCAAGACCTTAATAAAGCAGACTTTATGCTTCCAAACAGTAAAGCAAGGAAGAGCACTACAGAGGAGTCTAGCTCTCTTTCCTTGGACACCAAAACTGATAATACTGCTAAAGTTTTATCAGAAGCTGAAGTTGATGGTCAGAACAGTGTTCCTGTTGAGTCACATTCTGGAAGAGGAAAAACTACCGCCTGCTCCAAGATATCTATTTCTCAGGATATAATTTCTTCTCCATTAGAAATTACAGATGTGCCAACAAAGCCTGTTTTATCAGAATTAACCTCCCTAGAGGCCGAACAGGACAAATGCTATCAATTGATGCATCATAATGAGATTCAAGAGAAATATTCAGATACTGGGCAGAGAGAGAACTGCCAAACTAAGGCTTCTCCTTCTGTCTCCACACATCAAGGTAAAAAGCAAACAGACGTAGAAACGTTAGGTTATCCTCCTCCTTTTCTCAACGGTAACCCACCTGGGATTTTACCTCCTGTTCCTGATGAAAAAGCCAACACTTGTGTGATTTATGAACCTTCAGATATTTGCGGGACTGAAAATATCTCAGGTTTCTCAGAAGTGGCAGAACACAGCTTAACTAATACTTGCCCCAAATTCCAAGAAACTGACAGCACAAAAGTAAATTCACCTTTTCTGGGTTCTGACATCACTTTGGAAAAACCCACTTTTGCACCTGAGGATTCTGGCTTTCTTAACGCCCCTTCTGTGCTGAGATCTGAACAGAAAGCCGCGTCTCGTGGAGAGAGAGAGAAGGCTCGCTTCCTGCGTGGTCGAGCTGACAGCTCGTCTTCCCCTGGGAACGCTGAAGAAGTCAGCATGGATACAACTTCACACACTCCCCAAAACAATGTTGGCTCTGTAAAAGTTACCATAAACGTCACACCTGAGGTTGCCTTCTTAACTAACCAGCTGTACCCTGATACATCTTTTTTGGGATTTGAAACAGCTGTGCCTCCGGAGGCAGGCGTGACCCCATTTCAGGAACATTTTGGTGATCATACTGGGAAGGTCTCTCCTGATTTCCCAGCTGCTGCCCAGTGTGACCAGCCCCTGGAAGCAGAGGCAGGAGCAGTTGCTGGGGCCCCGGCGTCAGTTAACAGCCCAGGCCAGCAGGGTTCTGAGGTATCTGCTGAGCACACAGGCACAAGGAGGAGGGCACGTGACCAGCTTTGGGGCCTCAGAAGTGGTTTACTCAAACAGGCCGATACACTGATTGGTGAGATTTTAAATTCTGTAAGGGAAGAACTAAAATCCAAATCCACAGTTGACACCTGCCAGGAGCATCCAGCCGAAGACAGCATAATGAATGCCAGTGCCCTGAAAGAAGGCACGTCTGAGAAAAACTCATCAGGTGTGACACTGACAGGGGTCCACCTGGCTGAGCCGTTGGAAGGGCCGGATTTGGAAAACATGGCAGGAGTCCAGGGGGCAGAAAAGGCCTGTGTTTCGCCTACACCTGGTGAGAAGAGTCTCCTTTTTGATTCTGATAGAATGAATGTATCTTGCGAGTTAGAAGAACAAGCTAGGGAATTAGTTAATGAGATTATTTATTCAGTCCAAGAAAATATAACAAGTGCTTTTGAAGATACTGAGACTACCTGGGATTCTGTACTTCAGGCTGTTACTCCAAAAACTCTGCACAGTGACAGTGTGAAGCCTCCTGTCAGGGAGCTCTTGGTGTCAGAACAGGCAGGAAAGCCAAGCACGTGTGAAATCAGTGAAAATAAAGTATTAGGTAGATTCTTCTCTGTAAGTAACTTGCCTGGTGACACGGAGTCAATTAAAGGAAGAGAAATTGTTCCCCACCCAAAATCTCCATTTTCTGGAAATGGAGCTAGACAGTCTGATGGTATAAACTTGCAGGGACCAGATGCTGTTTTACTAGCTGAAGACTTGCCCCATAAAGGGTTAGATGATAGGGTAGAAACACATTTACTTCTCAAAGAGGACTCTAAAGAGAAAATAGAAATGGAGTGTGTGGATACTCACAAAACTGGGACAGAGGATACTAGAACCTTTGTATTAAATGTCCAATGGCCTCCGTTTGCAAAGGATGACATCCATGTAGCCGGGACCTCCAAAAGCAGTTTGTCTGATAGTCTTGTGTGTATGTCCGAAAAAGGCTTGCCAGGACACAGCAGTAAAAGCATGCCCCTTGCAATGTCAGAAGTAGGGAAAGTGCACAAAAAGGACACTGAAGTAAATATAGGAAAAATCGAGCTTGTCCCTTCCATGTTAGAAATGGGAAAAGCAAACAGAAAGGATGCTGAATTGGACATTACAAAACGGGAGGTAGTTCCTCTTATGTCAGAAATGGGAGGAGCACATAAAGGGGATGATGAATTGAATATCACAAAAACTGAGCCAATAGCTGACAATTTTAAAGTGCAGGAAGTCTACCAAGTGGAAGCTGAGAGGGACCATGAGAAAACGGAGGGATTACCTGCCCTTTTAGGAATGGAAAAAGCTTCTAAGATGGGGGACACTGAAAGGGATATTGACAAAACTGACATGGTGCCTGTTATGTCAGAAGTGAAAAATATCTGTCAAAAAGATACCGAGGGAATTACTGGAAAGACTGAAGTGGTATCTGATACATTAGGGACGGGAAGTATTTACCAAAAGCATGCGGAAGGTGATGTTGGCAAGACCAGGGTGACATCAGTTGTGTCAGAAATGGAAAAGATGTACCAAAAAGACGGTGGGGGGATTACTGAAAAGGCTGAAGTGATTCCTCCTGCATTAGAAATAGAAGAGATTTGCCAAAAGGATGCGGAGGGAGATACGAACAAACCCGAGGGGTTGCCCGTGACGTTAGAAGTGGTAAACATCTACCATGAAGATGCCGAGGGGGTCACTGAAAAGACAGAAAGGCCTGGGTTGGAAATGGAAAACGTTTACCAGAAGAATGCTGAAGGAGTTACGAGCAAGACTGAAATGGTGCCTTTTGCATTGGAAGTGAAAAATGCACCCAAGGAGGCAGCCCCTGCCTCTTTAGAAATGGAAAAGGCATGCAAGCGGGATGCTGAAGAGATGGTCCGAGTGACTGTGTCCATGCCCTCTGTGATGGAAATGGAAAGAACATCCCCAGAAGATTTTAATGGGTTTGTCCAGAAACACCAAGTGGTACCTGCAGTGGTAAATGTGGGGAAAACAGATGGGGTGGGACCGGCGTTGCCCATTACACAAGTGAAGGCTGTGCCTCCCATATTTGAACCTGAAAAAGTGCCCCAAGAGTATGAAGAGAGTGCTGGAGAAATGGAGGAAGAGCCCCCTGAAGTAAAGGAAGGCTTGATAGCACATGACAGTAGACTTGCTTTGTATTTCAGGGGGTATGAGTCACCGACATTAAGTAAGGATTTTGAAGGCTACCCTGCCTTAGCAATGCCAGATCTTCAACCTGTGGATACCATAGGAAGGCTAGACAGAAGAACATCTGTTATGGCTGTAGATAACAAAACAAGAGAGCTAAGGCACTATAGCGAAGAAAAAGAAGATTCTAACTTAGCCTTCGTTTCTCAGGATGAGCAGGAAAATCCTTCCTTCACTATATTATATGAAGAACCCCTTCAGGATGAGGACAGGTATGCTACCACCGAAGCAAGGAGAACACACTCTCTCTTGTTTCCTGACACCCCCCCTGACAGCGTGCCTGTTGTCACATGTGAGAGGTCTGAGAGTAGAACTGACCTGGTCCATCATTTTGAAAGAGGTACTAAATTAGGGGAGACATTTGATAGTGATAGTTCAGAAATGTTCTTATCAGTGGAGGCCAAAAGGTACAAAATTTATCCCTTAGCTTTGTCTCCCATTTATGAGGATGACAGCTCTCAGGAGGACATTCTGTCCAATGAGGTCTCCCCCGGCCATCATGGCTCCATCAAATCTAGAGACAGTGCAAACCAGCCTTCTTCTGTTTTATCGCTTCTCCAGTCAGTGTCAGAGCGTTTAAAGATGAATTTTGATGAAGATGACAGGCAGGAGTTAGGGGAAGAGGAAGAAGAATCATTGCATAAAGGAAGTCTGAGAGCTAGGAGGAGGGAAACTGCTACCTTCAAGCTGCCAGATCCTTCCATCACGTATTACCCTGATGATGACCAGGAAAGGACTGGAATTCCTAAGAATTCATCTGTAAAGACAAACGAACCTACTGCCCCCAATCTGCAAATTGGTCTGTGGCCAGAACAGGCCTCATTTCTACAAAAATCTGACCTCACTTCGAAATTGCATTCTTCTGTAAAGAGTGCTTATCATCAGTATTTGCAGACTTCCAAAACCCACTCCTCAGAAAAAGGAGCCAGCTTCAGTGGGACTTTGCAGGGACCAGTGTCAAAATATTTCTGTGCTCAAGACAACTCGGGCAGATTAAGCCCATTCACAGAGGTAAGTTATTTTGATTAGTGAAGTAGCGCTTTGGGTCATAAAACGATCTAAAAGCTTAAGGAAGTCAATGTTTTTATATGTAAAGATTGTTTTTAAAAATATCACAGATACTTTATTCTTTGGTTGAATTGTATCATAAATTTATATATTTTAGCTGCACTGTTACATTGAGAAAAAAATTGCTCAAAATGTAAAAGCAGAGATGCAAGTTATTTTCCAGTTCTTTGCTATACTGAGTTTTATTTTTTATCCTCACCAGAGGATAAGTTTTTGTTTCTGTTTTAATTTTTTATTTTTTGAGAGAGAGGGAGAAACATCAGTCAGTTGCCTCCTATACACACCCGACCAGGGATCAATCTGCAACCTATGTGTGCACCCTGACCAGGAATCGAACCCCCAGCCCTTTGGTGTATGGTACGACATTCCAACCAACTGAGCCACACCAGCCAGGGCTATATTAGTTTTCAAACTAAAATAAATGACAAGATTCTGAATTTCTCAAGGGACTGTATGTGAGAAAATTGATGCTTTTCACTTGAATTTAAGTGTCTCGTGAAAATATTTCATACTAGTTAAAACATTTTAGATACTTAAAAATACATTAACTGTTTTCTTGACGACCTCCTCTCACTTTAGTTGTTCATGTATTCATTCAAAGCAGGGCAATGAACAGCCTAATTCAAAGAAAAAGAGCTGATAACAGTGTAGTTGGAAAATGTTTTGAAATTGAGTTACATTTTTCTTTGACTTAGAAATGTTTGACTAATGTAGACTATTCATTGAATGTGGGACTTTCTGGCATTCCCAAGATTCTGGGACTTTCTCTAGGAGTCCCAAAGATTCAAGGCCTTCATCTTTACCTGGAGTAGCCTTAAGGAGCAAATAGTAATACTTGAATAACAACCAATAGCTTGCAAGGCAGTCTTTTTTTTTTAAAAAAAGGATGAGATTTAAAGAAATATTTCCTTAATGGTTCCCTGTTGCCTACCAAATCAAGTGGAACCTCCTCAAGCTCTGTATTACAAGGCCCCCAAATTATTTTTGTCCAACCTTCTATGCTCTGGTTACACGGCTTGTCTTTCCTCCCACCATACTTTTTTTCAAGGTGTTTCTCTTCCTGGACTTTTCTCTCTGCTGTCACCATTATCCACTTACTGAAATTCTGTTTGTCAAGATCTTTTCCATACCACTCCCTCAGACAAGCCTCTTCTGAATCTGCCACCACCCCACCTCCGTGCTGGTACCATTTCCTTTCACTTTCATCACCAGGCATTTTCTTTGTATGTCACCTGTGGGTTTAGCTCTACACCCCACTCAGAAGGTCATGAGCACGCAGTCAGCTCATTCTCCCGTCTAGACCATCAGCCTCTTGAGGGCAGAGACAACACATTTTCTTTATACTTACCTTTATTTCCTTGTAGCACCTAGAGGTACACCTTGCACATAGTGTCATTAAGGAAATGTGAGAAATTGGTTTTGTGGTGGCTAAGAAACAGAAAAAAAAAATGTATTTTCCACTGATGTTTCTTAAGGCTTACTTCCTCCACTTCTATTATTTCAGAATGTTGACAGACAAACTCTGAGGTATAACCCAAGACCTGGGAAAGTAAGTATAAGTTTCTTACATAGACTAATATATAAGTACGATCACTTTTAAATTTGGGAATTTAAAAGTTTTAAGTAAATTCTTTAAACTGACTTAGAAAAGGATTATTTTACTGAAGGATTTAACATCTAAAGTAATGTTTACCTTTATATATTCAGAATATTTTGTTTTCTGTATTCTAGGACTTTTCACAATTTTAAATGCATTTTTAAAATTAGTTATTGTGCCTGTTTTCTGTGTGTTGCAGATGGTTATCTATGATCTCCACGGAAGTAATTATAAACAAGAGGTCTATTGTAGCATTCTAGATGCTACACCGTGGTCCTTTCCAAATGGGGTGCTGATAAGAGTTGTAAGGGGCTGGTAAGCGATCTCTTAAAATTTTATAGCATTTCCCCTCAAATTAAATGTTTTGTTGCCATTTATGCTTTTGTATTTTTTATTAAAGTCATATTTCCTTTCCTTTCATATTTTGACAAAATATTTTGAAACATTATTAGTGGTTTATAACTTAATTGTTCTGTTTTCTGTGGCAGAAAACATAGGCTGTTTTTAGTGCTTAAAGCCAGCAGTAAGTAGCAAGAGTTAATGTGTATAATGTAACAATCAATACCGTTGTGTAACTGCATTCTTAGCAGGGTAGATTTGGCAAGTTGAGCTGAAGGCTTCAGTTGAATGAAGCATAGCTTTGAAAACAAGTTAGAAATTTGTGGGATGCTAAGGAATGTGAAAGCCACATACTGAAACTCATTTGTGCAGCTGAAATGCTCAGAAAGCGAAGGATTCTTTGTATGGTGTAAAAATTGAACCGTGTCCAATTTTTGTTCTTACGGACCATGTCCCATGGATATGTTGGAGCCAAAACGTCCTTGTCCAGTATTTCAGTTGCCCACTGGTCAGTAATCATGTAAGCACTGTGGTGTAGTGCTGTCTTCAAGTAATACAGTGGGACACACGTGCTCTGGTAACCAGTGACAGGAAAATCAGGGTAGAAGTGGAACTTGGAATTGTTAAGGTATTGTTTTTAATACAAATGTGTAGCTTTGTTTATACAACATCTATAAAGTGCATATATACATAAAAATAGGCATAGATTATAGTATTATGTTCAAGAAGTATTATTTCCAAGTTTATTCTTTCTTATACTGTTTGTACTTCAACTAGTATAGATCATCATTTCACAAATAGGATTGTATGCTAATAATGGAAAATAATCCAGATTTAAAAATGCAAATAGATAAGATGGTCTATGACTTACTAAGTGTCATTTGTTTTATGCCTCATTTCGGAGAAAATTAATTATAACCGCTCATGCCTTTATATTTGTTCAGCTGGATTTTATATGAGAAGCCACACTTCCAAGGTCAGAAATGTGTGTTAGAAGAAGGGGAAAAGGTGTTAAATCATGACTGGATCCTTCAGAACAGAAAGCATCCACAAAAAAACTTTGTATTGGGTTCTATCAAACGTATCTTAAAGGTAAGAGAACTGATGATTTTTCATTTTGTCTTACTTGTCATATAATAAAGCTGTACTTTAGCCTATTTATGTTTAGAAATGGGTGCTATAATTTTATTCATCTTTATTATATTAATGATAATCTTTTCACATTGTACATATAAAGTATTAAATGAATGTTAATTTAAAATATTACTGGTAATCTGGGCTATAAAATAATACACACACACATATATATATAACATGTATTTTTTTTTAATAGCAGTAGAAATATATCACTGAAGCATCTTTAGGAAAATAGTTGATATTTCCAAATATCTTTTTTTAGTGTAGATTTCTTCTCCTTTGTGTAGTTCTGTGTGTGTGTGTGACAGAGAAGTGTTAGAAGGAAGGATGGGGAGAGGAATGGAAGGTGTGTTGCCTTTTTTGTTTTGTTTTGTTCAGACAGAGCAGGAGGGAGAGAGAGAGAAACATCGATGTGAAAGGGACACATCGAGTGGCTGCCACCCGCACGACCAACCAGGGCCGGGGACAAACTGCAATCAAGGTACGCGCCCTTAGCGGGAACCGAACCCTGGTCTCTCTGGACCGCAGGCCGACGCTCTAACCCGCTGAGCCAAACCGGCCAGGGCTGTGTTGCCTTTTTTAATTTTCTGTTTAGAAAATATTTAATACTAAGATGAGAAAAATCTTTCCATATACAACAGTGTGGTGGGAAGTGCTGTGGTGATTCAAGGAGTAAGCTAATGATGAGGTGTCAGTAAGGAGAGAATCCGTCATGTATTCTTAAGAGTTCCTTCTGCAGTAATGTGGCACATGATTTGGTTTAATTACATTTTTTTTTTCAAATTATGTAAGTTTCTTTTATATGCTTAAAATGGAAAATCACAATTTGATGTTATTAAACCCTTGGGAGTTTTAGATAGCATATAGAAAAACTCATTATCATAAAGGAGTGTCTGCATGTATTCTATGTGAATTAACACTTTCTGTAAAACTGTACCAAATCTATGCCTACAAATATCTATGTCTGCTTTGGACCCAGTACTGTGATGGGCACTGGGAATAGAGATACAAGTGAGATATGGTCTCTTGCTCTAGGTTGAGAAGTGCTCTGCAAGCCCCAAGGGTGCACAAAGCAGAGGCAACTGCCTGGAGGAGGTGGCACCAGCTTGGAATCTTGAGAGAGTAAACAGGAGCTGGGCAGCAGAGGAAGTGCGGGGAGTCCTGGCAGAGTGTCAATGGCACTGCAAGGAGATTGGCGGCGCAGCGTGTGGGACAGTGTTCTCCACAGTGCTCACTCAGTTGGCTGACTCACTAGAAATTCCTTGAAATGAATAATTAGTTTGTAGGTAGAATCATCTAAGATTTAAATAACTTATGGTTTTGTGCCTGCCTTGTGAATGCCAGGCACCATGCCAGGCCTGGTGGGGAAAAAAAGAATAAGATATTGTAAGCAGCAACCTCCTCACCCCCCTAATTAAACAACAGTAAAATCAAACAAAAAAGTCTGTCTGTTAAGAATGAGAATATAAAGGGGTATTTGCACATCTGCTATTTGCTTAGAATTTATTATAAGAAAGAATAACTCATGCTGGCATTTTTTCCTTCGTCCATTGTTTGTTCTTGGAGTCTTGTTTAAATGGCTGTGTCAGTGCCCACGTACCTTGAACAGGCTAGCAACTTTTCGTGAGGAAGGAAAATAAAACGATTGAGCATTGAATGGAAAAGGCATTAGCATTGTTCTAAATATTTAACAAAGTAAGAATCAAGCCTCAAACTGCTTCCTTTCTCCAACTGTGTCAAAATGCTGGCTGTGGATAGCTTTACTTGACTTCATGGTGGTCGTTCCAAATTCACTAGGCCTACACCAATTTATCTTGTTTCATCATCTTTTGCTCTAATCTGACTAGTCAAAACTTGAATGTTCTTTAAAAATATACTTTCAGCCCGACCGGTGTGGCTCAGTGGTTGAGCGTTGACCCATGCATCACAAGGTCACTGGTTTGATTCCTGGTCAGGGCACATGCCCAGGTCGTCAGCCAAATCCCCAGTGGGAGGCATGCAGGAGGCGGTTAATAGATGTTCTCTCTCATCAATGTTTATATCTCGCTCTCCCTCTCCCTTCTTCTCTCTCTAAAAATTAATAAAGACAAATAAAATAATAAAAAGATATACTTTTAGTGGTGTTTTTCACTTTGTTGTGAATAGATTCTGCAGATACCATCGGTTTCAGCTGTTGTAGATTCTACTCCGGGTTCATCTTTCCCCCAGCAGAAATAACGGAGGGGTGGGGCAGCAGTGCAGTGAATCTTGAGTCAAATGCTCTCTTTTCTCAAATAGAAGAAATGGATCTTGCCAGTTACTCTGTTTACTGTGCACTGAATTGTTTTCTCTTATGATCAGAAGTCACTTAGGTTGTGCCCACATTAATGAGCCAAGAAGAAAGAGATCCGTTGTTAGATTAGTGACTGAAGGTGTTTACGTAAAGTGGAGACAAATAGATTTTATTACTGTTATTTTTTAAACTGTAGTTCATTCCCGTTCTTTTTTCTCTCCTGGAGCTTTTTCTCCTTCCAACTAATTGCTGTAATAGTCTAAGCTGACAAATTTTACCAAAATATATTTGTAAAATATATATCGTGGCTAGAAAAGTCTGGGAGGAAGCCATATAAACTTTTCCTTACTGAGAGTAAACTGTTTATTGTTGCTAGGCTACCATAAAGCACCCTTCAGTCGCTAGTGTTTACTGCCTTGGACCATCAAGAAGTATACAAGTCTTGCGAAAGACATTATTTCTGTGAGTAGCCACCATGAAGAAGATAGAACTTATCAGTGAAATCTTTTTCAGTCAACTGGAGAAAAAGAAAGTGGCCCTCCAGCAAAGACAGTTGAGAACATAGGCTTTCTTATTTTTGTTTATTTTCCTTTTTTTTTTTAGCCATTGTCATGCTTGTTCCTTATGCTGTGTTTCCGTGTTGTGGTGGATTTGAATGCCTCTTAGCGTTTTCCATTTTAAAGTACACCACCCAAACATTGTTTGTATAACACAATGCAGAGGAAACTTACTTGTGTGAGACACTTAGTTATGTCCTCTGTTGCTGCCCCTCAGATCCCTGGGGGCCATGAATGTGGTCCTGTTACTAAAACTCCATTATTAACAGCAAACAAAAGAGCCTTGAAGATTGACAGGTGACTATTCTGGACATTTCTGGCTATTTTTGAAATGAAACTTTAGAAGGAAAATACATTTTCATGAAAAAATATTTTTGGTAATGTTTTTGTACTGTATTGCATTTTAGAACTAATTCTGAAAATAAGATGTATCAATTTGCTTGCTTTTGCATATAGAGAAGAATTATTAATGATTAATAAGAAAACTCAGTTTGGAGAAAGGTTAAAAAATTAGAAAATTGCCTTTGTTGGTTTGACTCAGAGGTTAGAGTGGCGGCCTATGGACCAAAGAGTCACGGGTTAAGGGCACGTACCTCAGTTGCGGTTCAGTCCCCAGCCCTGGTTGGGATTGTGCAGGAGGCAACCAGGTGATGTGTGTTTCTCATGACTGTGTTTCTTTTTCTCTCTCTCCCTCCTTCTCTCCCTCCCTTCCTCCCACTCTATCTGAAGATAAACGGAAAAATATCCTCATGTGAGGATTAAAAAATTTTTTTATAAAATTGTAGTTTTAAAATTGCAAAACTGATTACAATAAAAAATACAATTTTTTAGTCCAATAAGTGTAACCTCTGATTGTTACTGCATTTACCTGTGTCATTAAAGCATAGTCATTTGAATTTCACAGTGTCTTGTATGAGGATTATGCTCCATCCACAACTACTGACATAGACCGTACATTCAAACAGAAGCATTTATGTAATTGTAGGAAGGGAAAAATAACTATGGTTTCGATTCCCTAAGAAAAGATGAGGTCATTTTGAGTTAGAATTCGACTATTAAAAGATTTTCATAAGTAAGAATACAGAGAATTATCTCTTTAATTTCAATGACGGAAACATTTACAAAGCTTAGAGTGAAGGCAGCATGGAGACCAATCTGGCTGAAGAGTTGTGGGCATTTAGCCCAGATTCCTAGATTGGTGCCATAGTGTAGAAAGGGAAACAGATATAAATCTGTCCTGCTTGGGTCTTGAGCCAAGGAGTGTCACGAGGAAAGTGGTGTCCAATAAGCCCAACTGTATAAAGAGTAGCTAGTCGCCGACTGGTGGTATAGGCCCATAATCAGAGTCTTGGCCTTGATGAAGGCCCTTGACTGTGGGAATAGATAAGAGAGATACACAAGTGAAATTTTAGGGAAGGTTTGACAGGACAAGATGACAGAGGGTGTGTGCTGGAATGCAGGGTCAAGTTTCATAATGCCTTTCTTCTTTAATCCAACTTGTACTAAAGAAAATAAATAGAATTCCACAAGTAGGAAAACAGACTTCCTTTACCCTCACCTCTAATTCCTACCTCTTTTGTCAGTGTAAATTAGCACACTGAGGGTGGCGTGCCTCTCTGCTATTTATTTTTTAATGTTCCCCATGAGATCAGCTTTTATTTAACTCCCTTCCTCCGTATGGCTTTGTTGTGCTGCTAAGAAGGAAGGCTTACAGATTTGGGGCACTCGGATAGTTTGGTAACTCTGAGAATTGCTTAATGGAGCAAGACTTTATTTATTTATTTGTTTATTTATTTATTTATTTTAAAAATAATTTTATTGATTTTTTAGAGAAGAAGGGAGAGAGAGAAACATTGATGTGAGAAAGACACGTTGATCAGCTGCCTCCTGCATGCTCCCCGCAACCCAGGCTTGTACCCTGACTGGAAATCAAACTGGGACCTCTCAGTCCATGGGACACCACTCAGTCCACTGAGCCACACTGGCCAGGCTGGAACAAGACTTTTAAAAACAAAGCAGAAAATATTGGAGTAATACTTTTCAATGAGTAATATTTATAATTTTCATGTTATCAGCGTAACTCCTTAGAAAAACTTATTGGTTGCCAGATAGGAGGGGAGTTGGAGGACTGGGTGAAAAAGTAAAGGGATTAAAAAGTACAGATTGATAGTTACAAAACAGTGATGGGATGTAAAGTGCAGCATAGGGAATTTAGTCAATAATACTGTAATAACTATGTGTGGTGCCAGGTGGATACTAGACTTATTGGGGGAATCACTTCATAAATTATACAGATGTCTAACCACTATGCTGTAAACCTGAAACCAATGTAAAATAATATTGAATATCAACTCTAATCGAAAAATGTAAATTTAAAAAATTTTTATTTTAAAACACTGGTATGGAGAAATATTATTTTCTTTATGTTGTTCTTGTGAAGAAATTTAACTGAACAATAAGAATAATTGTAACTGCATGTCCAAGGTGTTGAGAATACTGGACTATCTGTTTCTTTAGATGATTTCAAAGCCAATTTTTTTTTCAGGTTTGCAGTATTCCAGAGATAGAACTTTGCCCTCAGTCTGACCCAGAATGTTGTCCAGTCTACATACAGCGAGCAGTCCCTAATTTGGAAGAGCTGAATATCCCCAAATCTGTGACCTTCACTGTGAAGTCAGGAGTGTACGTATCAGTTTCTCTTCATTACAGTGATTGATGGCCACCAAAGTTAACTACTTGTTTTATATTTCAGTAGGCAACATACATATTTATGAAGTAACTGTTAGTTAATTTCATTTGTACTCCTAAGTACCCAGGAAAGACTTGCAGGGATCAGATTCTGTCTTTGGCTCCTATTAAGTCTTTGATGTATGACTCACAGGAGCAGATACAGAGTCTCACACATCGTTCTTGATAGATACATCAATCTGTTTTTCTCCACCAAATGTTAGGACTGAGAAATGAAAATATGTCCCTGGCCTAAAATTCCACAGCCCGAACTGTTTTTGGCATGTCTCATGTTGGTAGCTGCTGAGTGCTGTGCAGTGCCAGGCACGCGGTGCCTTTTTGCTTATTACTCCTCTGTGCCTACAAGGCCAGTGGAACTGCACTCGTGTTATAAATGAGGAAATTACGGCGTTGGTCCCAGGCTAGGCCTTTCTGATTCCATAGGTATCTTTAGGAAGGGTGTGTCTGAGTTTAGTGTTAAGTCAGTCGCAGATTGGCTAGAATCACAAATTCTGTGATTTCTGGTTCCACATGGATCCCTTTTTTCTCATTCACTGATTTTATCTCCTTTGATGATGGTGCTGTAGAATTTTCGGGTCATTGTAGGACATCTTTCCTAGTCTTCCCCAACCATGGATTAGGGCACACCCAGTAATTAACCCTATTCATGAGCAGTGTCTATAATTATCAAATTTAGGTAGAAGGTAGATGAGTCTTTTGAGAATCTCTTATCATATACTGTTCCTGAGGCAGCCGGTAAAACTGATATTGATTCTGAAAACATAGGTCAAAGATGTAAGATGTCTGGTAGAATCCCTACCTCTGATTGCTCCAATTTTAAAGAGTGGAATGGTATTGATACTTCACTTATGTTTTCTTTGAATTAGAGGGCTCACACCTTTTTCTTTTCCCAATCCTCACCCAAGGATATGTTTGTTTTTTGTTTTTTGTTTTTAATTATTGATTTGAGAGAGAGAGAGAAATATCTATGTAAGAGAGAAACATTAATTGTTTTTTGTTTTTTGTTTTTAATTATTGATTTGAGAGAGAGAGAGAAATATCTATGTAAGAGAGAAACATTAATCAGTTGCCTCCTGTAGACACCCTGGCTGGCGATCGAACCTGCAACCTTTTGGTGCATGGGATGACACTCCAACAAACTGAGCCACCCGGCCAGGGCAGGGCTCACACCTTTTAAGTATTGGAAAATTTTAATGCTTGGAAAACATATGATAGACTTATTATAGGATAACTAGTGTTTGAAGGTAAGTACTTAATAGCATGTTAACTTGTATGCTGCTTGGCAAAGTCACTTTGAGTGTGTTTTATTAGCATAATTCTGGGATAGGTTTTTGTTTTTTATGTAGCCCTTTTTACTTTCAACTTTTATAGAACCAGACTAAGGAATTCCTTTTATGCTTTGACCAACCATTCCTTTCTTATTTAGTTGGCTTGCCTACCCAGAAATTAATTTTAAGGGGCAAGCTACAGTTTTGGAGGAAGACCATGGACTCTTTGAGATTTCTGCAGCAGACGTGAAATCATTGCACCCACTTCAGATGGTAAGCAAATGTAAAAGGAAACATTTTTCCAAGTACCCGTGAATCCAGAGTTAAATAGCTATGATGATTGCTCATGCATCTCAATCCTGAAAAATTACTGTGATCACTACTGAATTAACAAACTATTAGTTCATTGTTTTTCTGTTTCTCTATGTTGTAGAGAATATTTCTCTGTAAAAGTTTTGATTTTTTTTTCCTGAAGACAAATGTCTGAATTTACTTTGTGCTAAATTTATGACAGTCATGCAATTTCTTTATAAGTGTTGTTCTGTGCAATTTTTGACTATTTAATAAAGTTCTGAATTTGTTTTTTGATGCTTATTATAAATCACTTGTAAATGATACTCTTCCACTGTAGCAGTGCATGCTAAGCTCAGCATTAACAGTAAATGGGCAGCTCTGTTGGTGGTGGCTTTCTTAAAGAGAAATACCTGCAGAGCTTATTTCCTTACAAACATTTTTATTTGAGGGACAAACTATTAGTTAAATGTTACCTGTGTGATAAACCATATTTGGTTATTTTGTGTCTTTTTTTAAAAATTAAGACCAAACTAAGAAATTTTAAGAAATGACATAGTTCAGGATAGCATTCGAAACAAGTAGAGTATAGAATTAGGTGTTTTGGAAGGAGATACTTAAAATTTTTTTTTTATTTATTGAGTTTTAGAGAGAGGAAAGGAGAGAGAGAGAGACATGAATCTGTTGTTCCACTTATTTATGCTTTCATTGGCTGCCTTATGTGCCCTGACAGGGGATCAAACCCTCAACCTTGGTGTATCGGGAAGACCCTCTAACCAACTGAGCTTCCCAGCCAGGGCGAGAGGTGCTTTTTATGCTCTACAACCTTGAGGTCACAAAGACATTAAATATGATCAAAGGTATTGACAACGTGGAAGAGGAAGTACTCTCTTTAATTTAGAAAACCCAAGCATTATTGAGAAGACATTTAGTAGTAAGTGCTTTAGAAATTCCCTCTGCCAAATGAGGCTGTTAAATCTACTAGTGACTCCACTCTTATTTTTGAAACACTGTAGTGGGATCCAATCTTGAATTGCTCACGTGTTGCTCACTCAAGTTCAGTGTTCTTCCTTGTAGTTGTAATCTGGAAAGTATCTTTTTAATACCTCCTGCCCCATCTACACTGATGTAGAGAAGTCTAACTTGGTTTTAATTATTGTAGAGTTCTATCCTTAAATTTTTAAATTTATCACAGCTTAACTCTGGTATGTAATCTTCACTAATCCAACTTTATAGAACCTATATACATCATGTGGTTACTTTCAGCTGTTTTAAATATTGATGTATCTCACGTTAAAACTTCTTGTCATCCTCAGGGTGGACTGAAAGTGGAAATGCCTATGAACTTGAAGGTAGGTTTGAACAGACTTTTGTAGTAGGTTCAAATGTATGAGTATTCATCTTTAAGTATTTTGAACTGTTGAGATAGAAAACAGTTACCTGAACATACGTTAGCAGTGCCTTGCTCACAGATGTTGTGGTGGGGGAGTGATGAAGTGGCTGCTGAGGGCCCGGGCTGAGTGCGGAGTGGGGTCCGAGGCAAAGATTGAGGTCTGCACTGACAGCCAGTGGAACCCAGGAAGCACCTAGTGACAGGTGAAGAGGTGGTCAGTTTGATTATTCGGGGTGGGGTATAGGTGGCTAGCAGGCCTTTGGGGTGATGCTCAGGGGTGGCCAGAAGGTATCATTTGCTCTTGTTAGATGCCAGTTCTTTAATCATGAGTATTTGAAGGGAAGGGTAGGGGCAGTGAAAACTGAAATGGTAGTAGTGCCACGATTAAGCACATTTTGGGAAAGAAAGGAAGAAACAGTTATAAAATGTGTCTAAGGAGAGGTGGGAAAATAAAATGCAGTGAGCAAAGCTGCAAACAGACCTCCGTGTAACGAGGTCACAGCACCTCCAGAGGCAGGTGTGGAGACAGTGATTTATCCATTCTCCTTTCCTCCAAAACAAGAGACGTCATCCAAACCCCTACCATTTGGCGGCTTCCTAATTTATGGAATTGACTACCATTCACTCAGTCACTTAGATGGAGCCTTTTGGAACTTAATATCTGAGTGCACCTAACACGTCTTGACTGTATTATGGAATCATACATATCTGAGTTTTATTTTTAAAATACATATGCCTGGGTTCCACTCACAGAGATACTATTTTGGTCTGGGGTGTGGTCATATTTTTTCAGAGCTCCCCAATGACACTGACTTATAACTAAAGCTTCAAACCAGGGACTAAAAGATGGAGAATTAGTTGTGACACTCACTCCTTGAGTGGCTCCTGTCTCAGCCTCCTTGTTGCTGAATCAGAACTTCAGGTGCAGCTGGCTGGGTCTTCCTCGGCTGCAGTTTGGTTGTAGAGGTGCTTGAATGGAATGGCTGTCCTAGATGGTCAGAATTCCTCAAGTTGTCAGATGTTGGTTGATGGCTTACTCATCAAAGAGGTATCGCTTCTTTCGTAGTTTGAGTGTGTTCAGCATATGTATTAAACCCAAATAACACTTCATTATTTCCAGCATCTGGTGAAGACTTAACACGTAGAATACTGCAGGAGCAGTACTTCCTATTTACTTAACGTCTGTGTAATTTTGTCATGTTTTTTTAAAATAAGAGTGCTGGCTCAATGTGTTTAAGCATGGGAACTACTCACAAGGTCATGGGCTGCCAGTTGTGCGCATGTTATGCCATCGGCCACAGGTAGGACCAGGTGCTAGAGAATAGATAGACTAGCGCCCGTATCACTTAACATGCTGAGGGCCACTCATACTTGGGATAAAGAGCATCGAAAGGGTAGGAGGGAAATACTTGTACTGATCTAAATTTGAAGTCAGTGAAATGCTAGAAACTTATGTCCTTCTATACTTACCTCTCCCCACCCTCCAATTTAAATCAAATATGAAGTAAAAATACTATAATTATTTTCAATCATTTCTTATTTTTAGAAAGTTTTGTAATTTTTTGTTTTGTTTTTTTAATTTTAATTTTTTTATTCTTTTAACTCATCTTTATTGTTGAATGTATTACAGATGTCCCTCCCCTTTTTTCCCCCTTGAGCCACTCCTCCTGCCTTCCCCACGCTATTGTCGGTGTACATTAGTTATGCATGTATGCATAGAAGTTCTTTGGTTTATCTCATCCCACCCTCTCTCCCCCCTTCCCTTTGAGGTTCATTAGTCTAACAACCAATTTGTATATTTTAATTTCTTCATCTTTCTCACCCATCCCCCCAGCTCCCACCCATCTGTCAAGCAACAAAAATTTCTCTGTATCTATGAGTCTGTTTCTGTTCTGCTTGCTCATTTTGTTTGTAGATGCAGTTGTTGATAGATATGTATTCATTGCCATTTTATTCTTCATATTTTTGTTGTTGTTCTTCAAGAAGACCCTTCAACATTTCATATAATTCTGGTTTGGTGGTGATGAACTCCTTTAGATTTTTCTTGTCTGGAAAACTCTTGATATGGCCATAGATTCTAAATGAGAGCTTTACAGGATAGAGTAGTCTTGGTTGTAGGTCATTGGTTTTCATCACGTTGAATATCTCTTGCCACTCAATTACAACAGAAGGGTGTACAGTCCACACTAGGAGTACACTACAAGGGCCCAGCTGGGGTGATCAGGGAGACTGTGCCACTGGATCCTATAGGACACCTACAACAATAGGCCACCCTTTGAAGCTTAGGAGACATAGCAACTCTACCTAATACACAGAAACAATCACAGGGAAGCAGCCAAAATGAGGAGACAAAGAAACAAGTCTCAAATAAAAGAAAATAACACAACTCCAGGAAAAGAACTAAACAAAATGGAGATAAGCAATCAAATAGATGGTTTGCTTCTTGGCTTTATCTACTCTACTATTGATTCCTATAAACTATTCTTTATTTCAGTTAGTGCATCCTTCATTTCTGACTGGAGTGCCTTTCTGGCTTGCAAACTTTCTTTTGAGAAATCAGCTGACAGTCTTATGGGAGCTCCTTTGTAGGTAATGGCCTGCTTTTCTCTTGCTGCTTTTAAGATTCTCTCTTTGTATTTAACCTTTGGCATTTTGATGATGTGTCTTGGTGTGGACCTCTTTGGGTTCAACTTGTTTGGGACTGTCTGTGCTTCCTAGACTCGTATGTCTGTTTCCTTCACCAAATTAGAGAAGTTTTCTGTCATTATTGTTTCAAATAGGTTTTCAATTTCTTTCTCTCTTCTCCTATGATGAAAATGTTGGCATGCTTTAAGTTGTCCCAGAGGCTCCTTACACTATCCTCATTTTTTTGGATTCTTTTTTCTTTTTGCTGTTCTGATTGGATGTTTTCTGCTTCCTTATATTCCAAATCAATGGTTTGCTTCTTGGCTTTATCTACTCTACTATTGATTCCCTATAAAGTATTCTTTATTTCAGTTAGTGCATCCTTCATTTCTGACTGGTCCTTTTTTATGTTGTTGATATTCTCACTAAGTTTTCTGAAGGTCTCACTAAGTCCCTTGAATGTCTCACCAAGTTCCTTGAGCAACCTTATAACCTGTTTTCTGCATCTGTTTGATTGCTTATCTCCATTTTGTTTAGTTCTTTTCCTGGAGTTGTGTTATTTTCTTTTATTTGAGACTTGTTTCTTTGTCTCCTCATTTTGTTTCTCCTCGTAAAGACTTTGTTTCTTTAGTTCCCTGTGATTGTTTCTGTGTATTAGGTAGAGTTGCTATGTCTCCTAGGCTTCAAAGGGTGGCCTATTGTTGTAGGTGTCCTATAGAATCCAGTGGCACAGTCTCCCTGATCACCCCAGCTGGGCCCTTGTAGTGTACTCCTAGTGTGGAATGTACACCCTTCTGTTGTAATTGAGTCTTGATTGCTGCTGACATGTCAATGGGAGGGATTTACTCAGGCTGATCAGCTGAAAGGACTGGCTGTGCCCACTGGCTACTGGCCTCTGATGACTTTGGAGGATCAGCTGTGCAGGGGCCCACCACACAGAGCAAGTCTTACTTCATCAGGGCTCTGATACCCACTGAATCCACTCATTGAGTGTCACTTGTGGAGGTGGTTGGGTGGTAGTGTTTCGATGTGGTCTAAAGCTGTCCACTGGGTATGCTGGCTCTGGGGCAGGGTCAGCCACTGCCTGTGTTCTATCCAGGGCCACCAGGCATAAGCTACAAAGTAATCTGCAGATGGCTGCTGCTTGTGCTGGGCTTGGAGGTGCCCAGGAAAAGCCAAGTTGTGAACCAAGGCTGGCTGCTTCTAGTGCCAGTCCTGGGGCCACTTAACAAGAGGTATGGGGCTCGCCGAGACCAGATGCTGCTTGTTTGAGAGATTTTATGAAATTCTGAAGCAGTCTCCAAGACAGGCCAATCCTATGGTAGAGCCTTTGGAAACAGCTTGGGTGAGCCTGAAAGCTGGGTGGGGAGGGGGCTCAGGGAATCACCAGGGTGGGACCAACAGTGTGAGCCAGGTTGCTGGAATCCCAGATGTGGCGGTGTCTGCTGCCCCAGGAAAGGGCTCACCAAAGGAACATCAGCCCCTGCCAGCACCTTTGTCCAGGAGAAAGCTACCCCTCCAGCCCTCATCCCAAGGCCAAACAGTTCAGTTCTTTCCTGTATGTCTCTGGCGTCCCTCAAGCTGCTTCCCCTTCAAGCTCAGAGGGAGCAAATCCAAGTACAGTAAGTCTGTTCATGGGCCCTTTAAGAGGAGTTCCCTGGGGCTCCGCAGTTGCAGATGCAACCTCTCTCTGCCTCATTTCCCACTGGTTTTTCCAGCCAGAAGTTATGGGGACTTCTCGTCCTGCCACTGGAACTCTGAGCTGGGAGCCTGGTGTGGGACGGGGACCCCTCACTCTTCAGGGAGGACCTTCCCAGCCGAGGTGTCCCTCCTGAGTTTTATCTGCCACACGTGGGTGTGGGACCAGCCCATCCGCCTCAGCCCCTCCTACCAGTCTCGATGTGGCTGTTCCTTTAATTTTGTAGGACTTCTATTCAGCTTGATTTCAGGCGGTTCTATATGATGGTTTTGTTGTAGTTCAGTTGTGATTTTGATGTGGTTGTGGGAGGAGGCCATATCGCGTTTACCTATGCCGCCATCTTGGCCGGAAGCCCGGAAATTTTGTAGATTCACGAATTTGTCTGTTTCTTTCTTCTCTTGAATAGTAACTGCCTTAGAAGCAGTGTTATAAGAAATAGCTTATGTTTTCTCAAATCCATAGATAATGCATTAGTGTGCCCTGGAACCTCATGAGAGCTTTTATTTCTTATAGTGGAAATTAAGTAAATATAAGGCAGGTTTGTGTTAAATTCTAATCGGAGGGATAAGCTTAGAAAGATAATTCAAGAACCAGTTACAGGACAGTTTATCCTATGAGATGGTCTTAAGATGTGGGTAACCAGAACAGTGAGATCAGACTTGATTATATTAATATGAGGGAAGTGTGCTATTAAGACATTTTATCTTTATGATGCTGAAATCTCATTCCATGTGACAATCGACACTGCTATATTGTAAGGATATATGAATGAAAGAACAGACAGTGATCCCTGTTCATGCTGTCTTTAGTGTGTGTCTATTCTAACATATGCACATGTTAAATAATTTTCTTTCATATTTTTCAGGTTATTATTTATGAAAAACCTCACTTCCATGGACAGGCCAAAGAGTTTAGTGAACATATAGATTCTGTCCCTAATTTTTTAAAAAACGATGGGGACTTTCACAGAATTGGATCCATTCGTGTCATCGGTGGAGTGTGAGTGTCATATTTTCATTAGTGATTTCGTAGTCTGTTTTTGAAGGTCAGTACAGAAAATGTGCTAAGCAGAGCAAAAACCACCTGCCTTAGCCTGAAAATATGAATTGCTTTGATCATATGGGAAATAAAAAAATATTAATTACTGATAGCTCTCTGTGAACTCTTGGTATTACAGATGTTGAGATAGATTAAATATAGAAAACAGTTTTTAAAACTTCAACACTTAGTATTGCTGAGCACAATACAGAACTAAGAATTGCAAATAAAATGATTTTCTCACAGATTATGAACATAAATGAGAGCCCTAGTTTTAATCCTTTCTTCTGTTGATCTTACTTGACTCTCTGCTGAGGACATTAACAGTGAGCCTCCCTCATTAACAAAGTATCCTGATTGTTTCAAAGTCAGGCATTTTTTATATGTTTCATTGATTTTAGAGAGAGTGGAAGGGAGATGGAGAAAGAGAGAGAAACATCGATCAGCTACCTCCTGCATACCCCCCCTCCAGGAACCGAGCCAAAAACCCTGGCATGTGCCCGGCCAGAATCGAACTGGTGACCTCTTGGTGCATTGGACGACATTCAACCAACTGAGCCACACAGGCCAGGGCAGGCATTTTTGATATTGGTTAACCTCTGGCCCTGAACTGCTTTGGAAGCCCCCGAAGAACTCCTAAGTGTAAACACAAGTGCAGGCACTTGTTACAAGTCTCTTTATTGATATGTTGGGGGGGGGGAGGTTGGAATGTTGGTTTATTTTAATTTAAGCCTGGGTACCTCTTGATATTTGTGGTTACATTGTGTGACTTGTTCATGATATTCTAGCAAAAGATGCTACTTAAATATTTTATTCAAAGATATTAAGTGACTTATATAAGATCACTCAAGCATCTACATTTAGAGACTTAGGCTTTGCAGTTTCCAACAGAAAATCAAGCAATAGCCATACCAGCCAAAATGGAAATATAAGAGACTATGCAATATGGTAGATAGGTGGGTCATACCCATAATTGGTCTGACATTTTGGTAATCATTTAATTCTTTTTTTATTTTAGTAAATATATTGATTTTCATAAAAAATATATTTTTTCTTTCAATTTTATTTTGTAATTCTTGATTCTTGAATTTTAAGATTTTATTAGGGGCTCAAAAAACATGTTTTGGAGAAACACATTTTTATTGTGTTATATTTATTTGCTGTGTTTGCTTTGTGAACACACATGCTTCTTGTTATTCCTTTGCTAAATATTTTTGCCTTTTTACCCCTCTGGGATCTGAATGTTTTCCCCATTAACTAGATTGTGATTTGCATTGTTCTTTTTTACAATTATTTTATAAAAATCTCAAGAAAATGATTATGGTGTACAGTACAACATACACACTTTCATTTTTATATGGCAACTGCAGGAGGAAAATGTGATGTCCCATTGAAAGGTGAACAGCTGACTTCTTTTTTCCCCTGCATTTCTACCATTTTTCACTTTTGTTAGCTGTTTATCTGTAAGTGGTATGGACTTTTCCTCATTTCTCTCCCATCTTAAGGAATCCGGAGAAAGTGAGGTTGATGTTTCTCAGTTTTTCTCAGGTAACATCTATTTTTTTTTTTAAATATCTCAGATGGATATATAAATTGAATCTTAATAAAATCTATTAAGAAAAACTGGACAGAAGATTTTTGAACTGTTCATTATGTAAAATTTTACTGATCTCTTCTTTAATATTAAGGTCCTCTATACCTTTTATTCTTTTTCCCACTCAGATGTATTAAAAGCATGTTTCAAGTAGCCTTATTTATGTAGAAGAAAGCTTAAAATTTGAAAGTTTTCTTGTGAGATTTATTTTTACATAATAGCTTAAGAATAAAATAATACTAGTTTCTTTACACATCACATATTACAAATATGCTAAGATGTATAAAACGTTTGTGCACACCTACAGCACTGCGTGAGGAATGGTTCACAATCACTGAGCAGATGCTGTAATTCTGCACCCTGTGGAAACAATTCTTTGGAATATTTTTTATATCTTTACAACTGTAGTAGTGATGGAGAAAGGGAAGACATTGTAGTAGCCCCACCAGGCTTCATTTTGTCAGACTCCAAAGTTCAGACTACCAGCCCAGGAGCCCAAAACAGTCCTCCTGGTCATGTGCTCCTAGGAGCAGGTCCCACTCTAACCACACCGTGCGGCTGCAGGCCTGTTTAAACAGGCCCCCACACACTGTGAACCGTCTGTGCCCACACTGCATTAGCCACTCCGGTTACTCCATAAAATGTAAGCTCTGTGGAGGACCTTGGTGCCTAGTGTTTCTTTGTGTTCTGTGCTGACAGGATTAGCTTAGAAGTCAAGAAACTTGTGTCCTTGAAACGTACTGATAAGATGGTGGGAACAGCACTTCCCGCCATAAACACCTACAGGGGTCTGGAGGCCAAGGGGCTAATATCAGCTCTGTCGCATCCCAGTTTCTCTTTGCTAGCCCCCCACCCCCAGTGTGTTTCAGATCTGAAGCCTGATGAGAGGCTACTTTGACCTGAACCATAAATAAATGTTTAATATAGTAACCATTCTGTGATTCCAGAAGGACTCAATCAGTAAAACAGAAATATCTATCTGTGACTCTCGTGTAGGTTTGAAACTTGTCTCTTTGCCTGTTTGTGCTTCCCATTACTTTTTACTTGGCAAACTGTTCTCCAAAAACTTAGAGGTGCGGTGTCAGGGCCACACCACATACGTGTAATGGGTGTCACTTTATTACAGTTCTACAGTAGTTAACCTCTTTTTGGGAAAAGCCTCCAAACTATAAAAATTATTGATCCATGAAGCATACACCATTACTCTTTGTAAATGGTAACAAAACAAATTGTTGCTTTTTGTTTGTTTGTTTGTTCAGATAGAGTGGGAGAGTGAGAGAAACATCGATGTGAAAGGGACACATCGAGTGGCTGCCACCCGCACAACCCAATCAGGGCCAGGGACAAACTGCAACTGAGGTACACGCCCTTAGCGGGAACCGAACCCGGGTCTCCCTGGACCGCAGGCCGACGCTCTAACCGCTGAGCCAAACTGGCCAGGGCACAAATTGTTGCTTTTTAAAACACGGTAATGTGGAAGTAGGTGCTTTATCATGATTTTTCTCTTGCTTTCTTGACTACACTTTTATTGATGGTTCAGTTGGTGTCCTCTGTATTTCTAGGTGGGTTGCCTATGAAAAAGAACATTTCAAAGGCCAACAGTTCTTGCTTGAAGAAGGCGATTTTGAGGATAGTACTGCCTGTGGGGCGCTGAGCAGCCCCATCTTGTCTTTCCGGTACCTACAAGCTGTGAGTTCGTTCCCAATTCTTAGTTTCTCTCTACCTTTCCATAAAAACTGGATGTCACCTCTGATAGAACATGAGGTTATAAAATGTTTCTAAAATCTGAGGGCACTAAACTTAACTGCTTATGTGACTTACCTGTTTTAGGGGTTTTATTTTAATTGAATTAATTGAGGTGACATTGGTTAATAAAACTATGTAGGTATCAGGTATACAAGTCTGTAATACATCATCTGGTTCTTATATTGTGTGTTCACCACCCCAAGTCCAATTTCCTTCCATCACCATTCATCCCCCCTTTACCTTCTTCTACCTCCCCCTGCTGTTGCCTGTTTTTCTTAACTGCCATGATTATTCTAGAATACTAATATTTACTTTTCATCTATCGATTTCACAGCTTTTGAGCACCTGCTTTGATAGCTGTATTGTGCCAGGCTAGAGCATGCAGCCTGGTAGGAAAGTAACGCTTACATCAGTGTTTGGTATTGTTTGTGCTTGGATTGAGCACAGAGTACTGCGGGTACTCAGTAAAAGGTCAGTGACTTCTGCTTGGAAGTGAGAGGAAGTTAAGATGCCAGCTGAGCTGAAATTTTGAACTCAGGAGTTAGCCAGGTGAAGTAATCGGGGCAGGGTGAAGGGGAGAGGTAGGTGCTATTGTAGCAAAAAAGTAACATATATGAAGGCAAGGATGGAAGCCAGTGGTTCTCAGCATGGGGTGGTTTTACCCTCCAGGGACATTGGTAGTGTCTGGAGAGATTTTGTATCCTCATGACTTGGCAGGGGTGGGTACTACTGATGTTTAGTGGGTGGAGGCCAGGGGTACTGCTGAACACCTACAATTCACAGAACACACACATACACCAAAAAAGGAGGAATCATCTGACCCAAAATGTTAATGGTGATGAGGTTGAGAAACCACCATGTAAAGTAAAAGGGGGTGTGTCTGGGAAATGCAGTGAAGTCAGGGTGTCAGGGAGAACTTTGGGGAGATGAGTCCAGAGCCAGATAATGAAGGGCCTTATATGCCATGCTGAAGAGTTCAGATTTTTTTTCTTGACTTGACCATGAGTCATCGACGGCTTTTAGACCTAGTGAGTATGATCAGATGAGTGGTTTAGAAAGATCTCTTTGGTGACTGTATGAAGAAATGGCATGGTGTGAAGGAAGGAAGTCTGGGGAAGAGGACTAGAACCTTATGGGACTCCCGGTGAACGGTGATGAGGGCATAGAGAAGTGGAGGTAAGTGTTAGAGTTCTATAGGCTATCAGGGCTTTTCAAGTGTTGCTCATTTCTCTGACCAGCCCTGCAGACTTTAATATGCTCAGAGACTGTAGTCTCTTTCCCAAATAATCTTGACCCATTTAAACTCTGAAATCTCTGGCATAGTCAAAGCCCTCTCTGAAGGAATTGAAAATGATGTGAAGGGTGGTTACTGGGTCCACATGGACTTTGGATGAACACAGGGGTTGTGTGCTCTGGCCCTGTAGGTCTCTGTCAGGGCCAGCAGCAGCTCTGCTACAACCCTCACCTGGTCAGACAGGAGGAGCCAGAATGGGAAAAGAAGCACAGGGAACAAGGGAGCTTTTTTTCCCCATGAATGATCCTTGTCAGTAAGAAAGTTGGGAACCAGTTCTTCCTGAAAGAAACACAGGGCTGTCCACTGAAGACTGAGCATGCAGGTTACTTGAGCAATGGATACATCACTGAAGTATTTGGTCCCCACTATACAGTGAGCTCAGGTTTTCTCTACCTAACCACTCCTTACCTGGCTACTAAAAGGCAAGACAAAACAAGATAGAACCTCATCTTTTTTATTTTAAGGTCATGGTGACCACATACTTTGAGGAAACTGTGGGTCACAATTTGATGCATCTCCTACCTAGTATCAAACACTTAGCTTTTACCTCCTGATTTAAACAAGAAAGTTGAATGGAAGCATTGCTGATCCTAGAAATGTTTAGCAATGAATGTGATGGTATCTTCCAAAGGTGACTGTGACTAAAAGAAGCAAACAAAACACAAAACCGTGTGTCACTAGTTGAAACTACCAAGAGTGGAAAACATGAAAAGATAGCAAAGCTGTACTGTACAGGATGGGGAAAAGTAGGTTTACAGTTGTATCCACTCTGGGACACAATAATTACTATTTTTGTGTTTTTATTTACTTAATTATTGCATTTGAAAGTGGATACAACTGTAAACCTATTTTACCCCACCCTGCAGAGCTAAATAATTAGGAAAGATTCAAATAGAGAGTCTCTGATAATCTACATTGGAAAAATTGGCATAAATTGGCATGTCAGTTAGTCTGCACACAAAATGTACAGCATTTACAGAAATGACACAGTTTTTATGTAAATAAGTAAAAATACCCTTCAAAGAAAATCTGTCCTCTTTAAATTAAATTTTTTTTAAATTAAAAGGTTAGTTGTTTGGTTACAGTTTAAAGACCTTTTCATAATCCTCATTATGATATTCTAACATTTGTGAAGGATTTGACTTCATTCTTACACTTAATCTTCACAAAGACAGTGAGATACTCCTGATTCCCATCGTACAGACACAGAAACTGAGGTCCGGAGAGAACTGTGCCCGAGTGAGAGTTGTTATCTGAGGGCAAGTCTGCCTTCTCTGGAACTTGTGCCGTATAATTCATTTTCCTCTTTCACAAACGTCAGACTGAAAAACACCATAACAATGGAAAACTGGATCTCATTCAACCAAGTTTATTAGCACTTCATTTGTAGCTATAAATACATGGTCATGGTGCAGACCAATGCACATACACATAATAAATAATTATTTACATGAACTTTCAGTTTATAACTTAAATTTATGTTCACCAAAATATTGTCAGATGAAATATACCAAAAAATCTATACATATTTAGAAAGCATAGAATTTAAATATGTATATATTATGAAAATGTTTTAGAAATTTGCTTATCCAGTTATATCTAAAAATTTTATACATTCACTGGACACAGCACATAACTGGGGGATTCTCTTTTTTAAAAAACCACTTTATTGCCCGGCCATGTGGCTCATTGGTTGAGCATCAACCCATGCTCCAAGAGGTCACCAGTTCCATTCCCGGTCAGGGCACATGCCCAGGTTGTGGGCCAAATCCCCAGTGGAAACATGCAGGAGACAGCCAGTCAATGTTCTCTCTCATCGATGTTTATATCTATCTCTCCCTCTCTCTCTGGAATCAATAAAGAAAAAAAAAACACTTTGTTGAGGCATGATTGACATGTAAAGAGCTGTTCATATTTAATGTATACAAGTCAGTGAGTTTGGGGATAAGTTATACCCATGAAACCATCACCACCACCAAGGCCACAGACATAGTCATCACCCCCCCAATTTTCTAATGTCCCCTTTATTATTACTTTCTTGTGTGTAACAAGAAGACTTAAGGTCTACCCTCTTCGAAAATTTTATGTACAGTATTTGATAGGATTTAAAGCTTTGTGGTTGTCAAAAACATACATAAGGTAGCAGGTAGAATTAATGTATGACATCTTTTCCCCAGAGACTCAGATGTCTCTAACCTTGGAAAGAGTGAAGTGCTACATTTAAGATCTAAGCTGAAGTAATATAAAATTCACAATGCAATTTCCTAATGCCCTGGCTCCAGTATACAGAACGCTCTGGGTCTACTAAGGTCAAACCCTGGACAAGTTCCTTAGGAATACTGTGATCTGTGTCCTGGTGTGTTTTGGATAGTACAGCCAGAAATGTGTTCCTAATTCCAAATGAGTCAGGCACATGTGTTGATTTGGAGTTGATTATTTTTTTATAGGACAAGACTAGAAGGAAAATAGCAGTATTTAAACTCCAGGGATTAAAGAAGGAATTTTTATTTTTTGGCTTCCTCCACAAAACTGTCTTAGTGGACTTGTTTTTCCTCAGTTTTTCACTAGCTTTTGGATTTGCTTTTGTCATGATTTTCAGACTTTGGGCCTCTTTTCAGATCTCTGAAACCAGGTGGAATGCAGCGGAGATCAGTATTTCTCCTAAATTAATGGGTATACATCCCAGATCTCCACTGGTGTCTCATGTCACATCGCCCATGGGGGTTGTAGCACAGGATCTCTGGAGCCCAGTCAGCTGAGAGATTTTATGGAGTTTTAAAGTAGTCCAGTTACTGATCCTTAAGACTGACTTTTGGTCCTGCAGCTGTGAGAGTACTGTACCTGAGACTACATCAAACTATTCCAATTTTTTCATTGAATTTTGGTGCTTTAAAAGAAATAAAGTGGAATATAGATTTGAGGTCATTCCATCATTATTCATTCTTCTTGAGCTGCCACTTAAATCAGTGTGACTTCCAAAGTTATTTAATTATGCCTAATAAAGTGGGAATGCCAGTACCTAGCAACCTCGTAGGGCTCACTAGGACATCACTCTGAGTGCCTGTTGTAGTCACCTCTGAACAAGAGAGCTGAAAGGATTCTTTGTTTGTCTTTTATTATTTTATACCATGTTTTGCTACCAATCGATGTGTCTCTCTCCCATCAATGTTTCTCTCTCCCTCCCTCTCCTTCTTCTTCTCCATCCACCTCCCCCCCCCCACCTTCTACTCTCTAAAAATCAATGGAAAAAATATCTCAGGTGAGGAGTATCAAAACAAAAAAATCCTCTTCATAATTATATTTATTCCATCAAGTGGTGGGAGCATGAAAGTCTATCTTGATACATTTTTTGGACATTTACCTTGTTTACAGCTTTTCACTATTACAAATAGTGCATCTTTGCACATAAATTGCCTACCATTAAGTTTATTTAAGAAACTCAACTTTTAAAAGAAAAAAAAGGAGCCCTGGCCGGTTTGGCTCAGCGGTTAGAGCGTCGACCTGCAGTCCTGAGAGACCCGGGTTCGGTTCCCGCTAAGGGCGTGTGCCTCGGTTGCAGTTTGTCCCCGGCCCTGGTCGGTCGTGCGGGTGGCAGCCACTCGATGTGTTCCTTTCACGTCGATGTTTCTCTCTCTCTCTCTGTTCCTCTCTCTCCCTCCCACTCTACCTGAACAAAAAAATGGGAAAATGTCCTCGGGTGAGGATTAAATAAATAAATAAATAAATAAATAAATAAAAAAGAAAAAAAAGAATTAATTTCAGGCTCAAAGAGTGTGAACAACTGCAGTCTGTTAAATATATTTCTAAATATTTATTGTCTAAAGTTACTGTCCAGTGTGTATTTCCTCCAGCAGTGTTCCTTGACAAAACTGGATTTTAAGATCCTTCTTAATTTAAAAAGTGGAAATTATGTCAATTGTTTTATTTTTAATTTATTCTTATTAGTGAAATTAGACATTTGCTTTTGTGTGTGTGTGAATTGTCTGCGTTTTGCTGATTCATCAGTTTGGGTCTTAGATTTTTGATCATCTTGTTTCAAATATGTTGTCTGACTAAAAATATTTAAAATTTTCTCTTAATTAAATTTTTTAATAGTTTTTTCTTTTGTCAAGCAGACTTTATTTTTTTTTCTGTTTCATTTGAGCACATAAAACCCCCTCCCTCGCGGCCCGTTTTGTTCCGTGCAGCTTCGTCTTTAGGAACAAGTAAGACCTGATTTCCTGTCCAGTGCCAGCGAGCTACCCTCTGTCGACTACTCTCCATTTGCATAAAAATGCTGTGTTTTTCTGATTAAAGTAAAAACTGAGGCTTATTTTTTTTTTTTAATGTTTAAGAACAGTGACTATTAAAATTGTTTCCAATTCCACTTAAAATTCCTTTCTGGAGTTATGTGTGTAAATATTATCCCACAAGTATGTGAAAATTGTGCAGAGATTTAGCAATCCATTAAACAAAATTCATGCGTTTTTCTAAACTTTCCTCTTCCTCTTTTTAGAATTTTATAGAATCTTCCATCACACTGTTTGAGTCCGACCTGGAAAGTGGGAAGTTCATTGACATTATAAATCAGGAAATTTCTGACTTAGAAGAAATGGGCTTTGGCAGCGAAACCAGATCCATCCATGTTAAAAGTGGAGTGTAAGTTTCCTCACCTTGAGAACTTGACAGGTTCTTTGTGTTCACACTGTTGGCTGCTCAACTCTACTTCACATCTGTTCTTTTTCCTTTCCCCTACTAGGTGGGTTGCCTACCAGCAGAAGTTCTTCTGTGGAGAACAGTACATTTTAGAGAAAGGGAAATACAAGTGCTTTTTTGACTGGGGAGGATCGAATAACATAATCATGTCAATACGACCTATCCAACTGGTGAGTTAAGTGTGAACACAGCTAATGCCAGTGGCCTGTCCGGTCGAGTGTGTGGAGCAAGCCCTTTCAGAGTGGAATGGAGGACTCTCTTATACGTGCACGTAGAGAAAGTGACACAGCACATGAATTGCTGTAGACTTCGTAGAGAGCTCATGTGTGGAATTAACACATTGAGGAAGTGACTCTGTCATTTGATCCGTTTGTTCATTGAGCAGCATTTATTTAGTGCCTCCGATATGCCAGGCCCCATACTGGCTCACGGAAGACAGAAGAGTAAGACTGCCCTGATGGGTCTCCATCTCCTTGAGGAGACAGACGTGTGGATAATTAACTGCAGGATGATTAGTGAGAGAATGAAGTGTGTAGGCAGTGGGAGGGGAGCAGGGGACAGGGAACACTCGGAGCCTGGGCACTTGGGGACCGTGTCACAGAAGATAGCGCACTGAGTGATATCTTAAGGGACAGGGAAGTGGGGCAGAAAGGGCATTCCACAAACAGCTTGTGTGATAACTTCCACGGTGGGACAGTGTGGGCGCCCGTGAGAGTTACCCGAGAGAGAATGGTGGGACGTTCAGACGCTTTTGTTCTCGTGGGTATGGGGCAGATTTTTCTTCCAGCTACAGTATTATTCAAAGTGAATTAGTAATAAATACAGAATTACTGTAAGAGACTTTAGTAAGTTATTTGAGGGTCATGGCCAATTCATGAAGTCTAATAAATTGGCTAGACCTTTTTTTTTTTTTTTTTTCCATTTTTTAAAAGGATATTTTCAAAACTTTCAAAAAGACAAGTAAGATTATATGGTTACAATTCTTTTTAATGTTTTCATATGTTTTTCAGGAACCACTTGGGATAAATGAGCCTCCACATTTGGTATGTTTAAAAATAGCCTTACCTTGGGATTATTAAATTGTTTACTGCAAGCATCTGTGCCCTTTCTCTGAAACCCTCCTTCCCCTCAGATGGTCGTGGCTGTGCGTCAGGGCGGGCTGCCCCAGGCTCCGTTCCTGCAAGCACGAGACCCTGGCTGGCACTGGGCGCTCTGGCCTGCCCGAACCCCAGCTGCATCTCTGTTCTTACAGGGATTCCGCTCTGACTAATCGGGGGCCATTGTGAACCCCAGCCGCTCTGTCTTCCCTGTTGCCCATCTGTTCTTGAGTGTGTTATTCAGCACGTGGAGAAGTGGCTAGCTGTCTTGACATGATTATTATGTAAATATATTCTTAATACCTAAATCAGGTATTTCTTAAAAGCACTAGTAAAATTACAACCTTATTTATTTCTAGTGTTCGGGGTTCGAAGGATTGGGCAGTACTCTGGAACCTAACTTTTGTTTTATCTCTTGAGGACTAAAAATTGTGCTTATTATGATTTATTTTACATTTTTATTGAGTTTATTGGGGTGACATTAGTTAATAAGATTATATAGGTTTCAGATGTACAGTTCTATAATACATCATCTGTATATTGTACTGTGTTCACCACCCCAAGTCAAATCTCCTTCCATCACCATTTATCCCCCCTATATCCTCCTCTGCCTTTCCCCACCCCCTTTCCCTCTGGTAATCCCCACACTGTTGTCTGTGTCCAAGAGGTATTTGTTGTTGTTTTGCCTTAATTCCTTTACTGCCTTAAGCCAGACAGAGGAAGACAAGTACCATATGATTTCACTCATATGTGGAATCTAATGAACAAAATAGACTAACAAAATAGAACAGATTCATGGACACAGAGAACAGACTGACAGCTGTCAGGGGAGGAGGTTTACAGGGCCAGGTGAAAAGGAATTGTATTTATTTAGTGTTTCTGATAAGTGTCAGGTCGGGATCAGTTGCATTTATTGATGAGCAAACTAAGATTTAGAATTTGTGTCATTTCACACAACAAGAAGTAGCAAAACAGGCATTTTCTAGTATCTGACGTCACTTAACCACATTTTTAGGATTTTACATCAAGAAAGACACTTCATGATATGAGCAGCACAACTATAGATGGAAGAGGGGATGGGGGAGATTGCTTTCTCTGTCTCATTTTAAATAACACATTTGGAAATTTTTCTATTAAAAGTCAAATATATTGATTAATTTTAATAATGACATTTGCTATCTTTACATAATGCTCAATCCTTCTCTTCAAATGTATGCTGTTTGTGTTTATGTCAGTATTTATATATTTCAAACCAGCTTAGTTTAACCATGTTTCTATCCACAGGGCTTTCAGGTTTCATTTTCTGATGAACTCAGGTCTGTTGGGAATATTTCCTTTCTAAATAGAGGGCAGGGAAAAATAGGTTTACAGTTGTGAGTACGTGAAATACAGAGTTAAGCTATTGTAATAATTCTAGCCAAATGTCTTTTTCCATACGAACAACTGTAAACCCACTTTTGCTCATCCTGCATAATTGAGCTGGTTATATTTGGAGATACTTCCTGCCAGATGTTTATTCTGAATCTTTGTAAACGCCAACTGTGGACCTTCAAAGCACTTGTTCACATGAATCAACATAACCTAAGTAGTTAAAGAGTTAAATAGGGATAATTCCTAACTGCACATTTCTGAGTATTAAGTGCAGTTAGAAGTCACATTCTTTTAAGCTCTGTGTCTCCCCCTCCTACATCCCTGTTCTTTGTATGGACGTCCTTATTTGGGGCAATTGCTCTGAGGGTTTTCTTCATAGTATCTCCAGTCCAACTTGAAGAGAAAAGGAAGCAGCAGACAACACCCGAGGTGGAGTCAACCCCACTTCGTTTCTCTGGCTGTGGCTCAGCTATTGCCTTGTGAAATAAACGTTTCTGGCAGGTAAATGATAGCTGGATATCAGACAAAGCCTCTTAGTTTACCCAGTATGAAAGCTCTTATTATTTCCACTGGACCGGTTTCAGAACATTTTGCTTGTTTTTATTTACTCAAATAAAAGGATTGGCTGACACTCACTTTCATTCAGTAACTAGATTCCATTCAGTAACTAGAAAGTATTTTCTTCTTTACAAGTTTCTGTGATAGTCAGACTGACCATTCAGGTGCCGTGTTCAGGTGAAGTCATTATTTTCTCTTCAGAATAAGGAGAAAGTTTTGTCTTAGAGTTCAGGTCAGAGACAGAATGGTTTTTTGTTTTGTTTTTTCCTTTTTTATTATTTATTTATTTATTTATGTAATTTATTTATTCATTTTTGTTACAGATGTTTCTCCTTTTCCCACCATTGACACCCTCCACCGCCTCCCTCCCTGCCACGTCCCCAGCTTTGGTGTCCATGTCCATTGTTCATGCACACATGCATATAATTTCTGTGATTTATCTCTCCTCCCCCAACCTCCTCTTCTGGGGATTGTCAATTTGTACCCTACTTCCATGTCTCTGGGACTACCCTGTTCTTCAGACTGTAAGGTTCATTATATTCCACAAATAAGTGAGATCATATGATACTTGTCTTTCTCTGCTTGGTTTGTTTCGCTTAGGATAATACTTTCCAGGTCCCTCCCTCCATGTCGTCTCAAAGGATAAGAGATCTTTCTTTCTTACAGTTGCATAGTATTTCATTGTGTATATGTACCACAGCTTTTTTATCATTTCGTCTACTGATGGACATTTGGGCTGTTTTCAGATCTTAGCTATTGTAAATAGTGCTGCTACAAACAGGGGGGTGCATATATTCTTTGATTGGTATTTCAGGCTTCTTAGGGTATATTCCTAGAAGTGGGATCACTGGATCATATGGCAATTCAATTTTGAATTTTTTGAGGTAACACCATATTGTTTTCCATAGTGGCTGCACCAGTCTGCATTCCCACCAGCATTGTACTAGAGTCCCCTTTTCCCCACACCCTTGCCAACACTTGTTATTTGGTGATTTGTTGATGGCAACCATTCTGACAGGTGTGAGGTGATACCTCATTGCTGTTTTAATTTGCATCTCTCTGATGATTAGTGACGTTGAGCATTTCTTCATATGTTTCTTAGCCATTTGTGTGTCCTGTTTGGAGAGGTGTCTGTATAGTTCCTATGCCCATTTTTTTAATTGGGTTCTTTGTCTTCCTTTTGTTGAGTTGTATGAGCACTCTATATATTTTGGAAATTAACCCCATATCTGATATATTGATGGCAATTATGCTCTCCCATAGAGTGGGTTGCCTTTCCATTTTGGTGGTGGTTTCTTTTGTTGTACAGAAGCTTTTGAGTTTGATGTAGTCCCATGTGTTCAGTTTCTCCTTTGTTTCTGTTGCCTTATGTGATGTATCAGTGAAAATTCTGCTGCGTATGATGTCTTGCGTATGAAATTTTGTCGCCTACATTTTCTTCTAGGATTTTTATGGATTCATGAGTCACATTTAAGTCTTTTATCCATTTTGAGTTTATTTTTGTGTATGGTGTAAGTTGATGGTTTAGTTTCATTTTCTTGCATGTAGTTGTTCAATTTTCCCAATACCATTTATTAAAGAGGCTGTCTTTATTCCACTGTATGCTCTTGCCCCCTTTGTCAAATATTAATTGAGCATGTTGTCTTGGGTCCATTTCTAGGTTCTCTACTCTGTCCCATTGATCTATCTGTCTGTTCTTGTGCCAGTACCAGGCTGTTTTCATTACAGTGGTCTTGTAGTATAACCTGAAATCTGGTAATGTGATCCCTCCAACTTTGTTCCTCTTTTTCAAGATTGCTGTGGCTATTCAGGGTCTTTTTTGGTTCCATATGAACTTTTGAAGTATTTGTTCTAGTTCTGTGAATTATGTCATTGGTATTTTGATGGGGATTGCATTGAATCTATAGATTGCTTTGGGTAGTATGGACATTTTAATGATATTAATTCTTCCAATCCATGAACAAGGCATGAGCTTCCACTTTTTAATATCTTCCTCTGTTTCTTTTTTCAATGACCTGTAGTTTTCTGCAAATAGGTCCTTTATTTCTTTGGTTAAGTTTATTCTTAGGTATCTTAATTTTTTTGCTGCGATGGTAAATGGGATTTTTTTTTTTGTTTGTTTCTCTTTCTGTGAGTCCATCATTGGTGTATAAGAATGCCATCGATTTCTTGACATTAATTTTGTATCCTGCTACTTTGCCAAATTTATTTATTAAGTCTAGTAAATTTTTGATGGAGTCTTTGGGGTTTTCTATGTATAATATCATGTCATCTGCGAATAATGACAGTTTCACTTCCTCCTTTCCAATTTGGATCCCTTTTATTTTTTCTTCCTGTCTGATTGCTGTGGCTAAGACTTCCAGTACTATGTTAAATAAGAGTGGCAAAAGTAGCCGTCCTTGTCTTGTTCCTGTTCTTAAGGGAAATGCTTTTAGTTTTTGTTCATTGAGTCTGATGTTGGCTGTAGGTCTTTCATATATGGGCTTTATTATGTCAATATATGATCCCTCTATTCCCACATTGCTGAGTGTTTTTGTCAGAGATGGGTGCTGGCATGGGCCAGGGAAAAGGCAGTTGGAAATTTGAGTTTGGAACTGGAAATCTAGATTTGAGAGTCAACAGCAAATCAGTGGCAGTCACAAATAGAGGTATTATGTTCATAATCCTGATTCCATACAAGGAAAGTTACAGGATGCTGTCCTGTTGAATTTGCAGGTTAACATCAGGGAAGGCCATCCAGTTCTCCATATTAGTCCTTTTGGCCCACTGTTAGAATTCTGAGAGATTATTTTCACCTGGCCTTTAAAAACTTTTTTTTTTTTTTAATTATGGGTCTATGTCATCATTAGGGCTAAAGGTAGTAAAAGAAGAATATAAAAATAACCAATTTTTGTTCATAATGAGTTGTAGTCACATCACTGATGTATATTATGCCCAAATGAACAAAACACAGGAGTGTTTCACATTCACTTCTTTCAGAGCCAGAATTAACTGTTTGCCTAAGGCTTTATAATGAA